TAAGGTGTCTATTTTATCTACATTAATGTTATTGTCACATTAATTTTCTTTGTGCCATGCAGTGGCTGTAAAAATTCTCTTAGTATATTTAATAAGAGCTGTTATAATTCAGAGCAGAGCATATGGTTGTCTCAGTGGATGGTTCAAATATTTCTTCTTTATAGTATAATGACCCTGATATAAAATATATTGTCTGCTTTTTCAATTTGTTAGATAGTCTGACTGTTAAATAGAATTTTTATTATACCCCTGCACAACAAAGTTGTAAGGGGGGTATACTGGAATCAGCTTGTCCGTCCGTCCGTCCGGCCGTCCGTTGGATTTTTCTTGTCCGCCCAATAACTTAAGATTCCTTTGACCCTTAGTCTTCATATTTGGCATGGAGGTTAGTCATGATTAGTAGATGACCCCTATTGATTTTGAGGTCACTAGGTCAAAGGTCAAGGTCACAGGGGTCTTGACTTCAAAAAGCTTGTCCACCCAATAACTTAAGATTCCTTTGACCTACAGTCGTCATATTTGGCATGGAGGTTAGTCATGATTAGTAGATGACCCCTATTGATTTTGAGGTCACTAGGTCAAAGGTCAAGGTCACAGGGGCCTTGACTTCAAAAAGTTTGTCCACCCATTAACTTAAGATTCCTTTGACCCACAGTCTTCATATTTGGCATGGATGTTGATCATGACTATAAGGTGACCCCTATTGATTTTATGGTCACTGGGTCAAAGGTCAAGGTCACAGGGACCTTGACAAAAAAAGCTTTTCTTCTCAATTGCTAAAGAATGTCCTGTCCGCAGTGTATTGATTTTGACATTTTCACATTTGAAGCATGTAGAATACATAACTTAGCAATGCACTGGCTTAGTAACCTCAGATTTGGCAGGGAGGTTGTCCTTGAGCTCTAAATGGCCACTGTTGATTCTGACAAAGTGGTATGCGGGGGTATTCACGCCATGATAGTGGCAGTTCTAGTTAAACCTGCATGTTCCAGATGAGCTAAAATATTTCAAGAAAACCAACCTTCAGAAAAATGTATTCAAATTTTCAGAAAAGTAAAAATATTCACAACTCAAGAAATAATTTACATGTTATATGCAATTACAGACTGATTTTGTAGTATTTATCACCTTTTTTTCTACTATGTGACTAACACAGTAAGGGTGATATCTTTGTTTGCATAGTCTGACTTTCATAGATGCATTGTGTGTTCACTTGGTAATATTTTACTTTTTAATACATTTAAAATTTTGTATAAGAATTAGCATGAATCTGGAGGCATGCTGCTTTAAACTTCTGTTTCCTCCTTAAATTCTATTTTATTTAGAAATTGAATTATAAAACTTTTTTTTAGCTCACTAAACATTGTCCTTTTTGAGAATTTTAACCTTGTATAAAATCCATGTATTCTTTTTAAGTCAATGTGACATGTTAAGAAACAGTGAATAAGAAGAAAAAGTCTGAGCATTAAAATTCACCACTTTCAAAGATTCAATTATTCAGTTATTTAACATTTAAATTTTTTGCACACTGATAGATTGAGATAAAATTAAAGTAAAAAAGATATGAAATATTTTATCTGAATTTTCTGTGATTCACACAATTTGTCATGCTCATGATATGATATAATAGCCAATAAAATGCCCACAAAATTTCATAATTGCTAAAAAAATCACAGCTATAAGTTGTTATTTTCACCTTTAATTGACTGATTTTACATATAGATTATTACAAGAAAGATTAACAAAATACTGTATGCATTAGGTTATCGCATCATCATCAAGTTTATCACATGGAAATCTACCGTTTTTCTTCTGTTATTTTTTGTCTAGTTGAGTAGTGAAATTTAAATGCAATATTTTATTGGTAAAGATATAAGATAATATTAATTTTTATTTTTTTTTATTGTGAATTTTCAAAATTTCAGCATAAATGTAGAGGCATATGTTGATAATGCCTCAGCATACATGTGAACTCTCCCACTTTTGGCGGGAGACTCCCACTTTCTGCAGCCATATTTTCAAAGACTTGTCTTAAAATAAGGGGTATTTTCACAAATTTAGGCAATCTCCCTATTTTTTATGTCAGAACTTCCTTCTTTATTTATTGCAACTTCTAAAATCTCCCTCTTTTTGAGGAAAAATCTCCCATTTGATCATCAAAAAAAGTTCACATGTATGCCTCAGTTTTGCAAAGACCAACTAAAACAATTGTATCCTTCAAAATTATCTACTTAATAAATTTCTGATAATGATACTTTAAAACTTAAAATATGTTACCACATGTTTTGTTTTTATTGTGCCTGTAATGAATTTGTGTGCATCATTACTCTAAATTAATTCTGGTGTGGTAATCTTCAAAAAACAGGTATCTCAGACAGCTTGATTGCCAGCACTTGTTGACATTGTGGCTTTGTCTAAACACTAGACATAACACACACTTACCTACTTTTTGTTGTCAAAAACACAAATTGTGGATATTGTTGCTGTGTCATAACGATATATATATAGTACAAAATTGAGAACATTTTTGCTAGACAGAAAATCTCAATATGGAGGCATTTTTGCTTTATCCGAACTTTAAACAGATTACACTTACTGAGGCATTGAGATGCTTTGTCCATACTCTTGACAGACCATTTCCTTATTAAGACATTTTCTTCTTTGTCCAAACTGTAGGAAGAAAATCCCCTTATGGAGGCATTGTTGCTTTGGCCAAACTTTAGACAGAACTCACTTATGGAGGCATTTTTGCTATGTCCAAACTTAAGACAGAACATCCTCTTATGGGGGCATTGTTGCTTTGGCCAAACTTTAGACTGAAAACACTTATGGAGGCATTTTTGCTATGTCCAAACTTAAGACAGAACAATTCCTCTTATGGAGGCATTGTTGCTTTGGCCAAACTTTAGACAGAACACACTTATGGAGGCATTTTTGCTTTGTCCAAACTTTAGACAGAACATCCTCTTATGGAGGCATTGTTGCTTTGGCCAAACTTTTGACAGAACACACTTATGGAGGCATTTTTGCTTTGTCCAAACTTTAGACAGAACATCCCCTTATGGAGGCATTGTTGCTTTGGCCAAACTTTAGACAGAGCACACTTATGGAGGCATTTTTGCTTTGTCCAAACTTTAGACAGAACATCCCCTTATGGAGGCCAAACTTTAGACAGAACACACTTATGGAGGCGTTTTTGCTTTGGCCAAACTTTAGCCAGAACATCCTCTTATGGGGGCATTGTTGCTTTGGCCAAAGTTTTGACAGAACACTCTTATAGAGGCGTTTTTGCATTGGCCAAACTTTAGACAGAACATCCTCTTATGAAGGCATTGTTGCTTTGTCCAAACTTTAAACAGAACGCAATTTTATGGAGGCATTTTTGTGTCGCCTCTAAGGAGTAGTGGCGACATATAGGGATCACTTCTCCGTCGTCCGTCTGTCCGTCTGTCTGTCTGTCCGTCCGTCCGTCCGTCCGTCACAAAACTTGTCCGGACTACCCCTCATAAACTACTGGTGCAATTTCATCCAAACTTTACAGGAATGATCAGTATCAAGTATAGTTGTGCATATTGTCAGCATTTTCCGGTTCAATGATTTTTGTCAGAGTTATGGCCCTTTAATAATTTTTAATTTTAAAGTTTGTCCGGACTACTTCTCTTATACCACTAATGCAATTTCAATGAAACTTTACAGGATTGATCTGTAGCTCAAGACCTTGCGCATATTGCAAGGGTTTTCCGGTTGAATGATTTTTGGCCGAGTTATGGCCCTTTGATAAAAAGGTGTTTTTTTCTGTGTGTTGCCAGATACACAATAGCTTGTCCGGACTACTCCTCATAAACTACTGGTGCAATTTCATCCAAACTTTACAGGAATGATCAGTACCAAGTCTAGTCGTGCATATTGTCAGCATTTTCCGGTTCAATGATTTTTGTCAGAGTGATGGCCCTTTAATAATTTTTATTTTTAAAGTTTGTCCGGACTAGTTCTCTTATACCACTTATGCAATTTCAATGAAACTTTACAGGATTGATCTGTAGCTCAAGTCCTTCCGAATATTGCAGGGGTTTTCCGGTTGAATGATTTTTGGCTGAGTTATGGCCCTTTGATAAAAAGGTGTTTTTTTCTGTGTGTTGCCAGATACGCAAAAGCTTGTCCGGACTACTCCTCATAAGCTACTGGTGCAATTTTATCCAAACTTTACATGATTGATCAGTACCAAGTCTAGTTGTGCACTGTCCATCTGTCTGTCCGTCTGTCTGTCCGTCTGTCACAAAATTTGTCCCAACATGAAATTGGCCATCATGAGGCGACACATGTGATTACTGATCGCTCTTGTTACTTTATCCAAACACTAGACAAACCACCCATTTACTGGCAGTTTGATGCTTTATCCAAAATTTGGATATGGCTAAAAATATTGCCATAGTTGGTGTGTCTAAAATGTAAACATTGGACATTGTTGTGTTGTGAAAAATATAGACAGAACACAAACTTAATGACTGTAACTTTGACCATAGTTTGGACAGAACTCAGACTTGTGGACATTGTTGCTTTGTCGAAACCTTAGACATTTAACAGAACACCTACTCGAAGACGTTTTTATTTTTTATATTTCTACAAAATTTAGACAGAACATGCATTTCTGGAAACACTGAACATTACACTTATGGATATTGTTGCTTTGTTCAATATCTAGACATAACACCTACTTTCAGACATTGATTGTCCTATATCAAGACATTAAACAAACTTGTGATAATTGTTTCTTTGTCCATTGATTCTTTGTGCAAACCTAGCACCCCCTAGATTTAATGATGGCAGTTGTCTACAGGGCCTTCTTTAACTTGTTCAGTCATTTGGTATGTAAAGCATTGATGAAGATATATAAATAACAATACATAGTGAATTATATCTCAATATTCTTAAATGTGATACAAAAATGATATTGTTGCTGATAAATATAAAATTATTTAGTTTATTTTTGTATTTTTCAGGAGTTAAGGAATGTGCATCTTGAAATCAGGCAAAATGACAGGCAACCTTGACTCACATAACACATCAACAAATTGGCTTCCAGACACATCAATTAAGTATGCCAGTATGTCAAAGGTCACAGACTGGTGGCAAGGATACCTTAAGTATCAGGTTCCAAAGAGTGTCCGCCGAAAAATGCTCATCTTCTTGTTTATTGTTGCCATTTGCTGTATAACGCTTATATACTCGTGTTTTAATTGTTATGTCATATGTTCAGGAACATGTAATGTGCTAAGCATAAAGCCGGACTTAATGACTCAAAATGCACAAAATATCACCCGTCTTTCTTCCAGTCATCTCAAAACTAGTCAACGTCTTCCATCATGTATCATTATCGGGGTTCGTAAAGCAGGTACAAGAGCTCTCCTCCAATATCTCGACTTGCATCCTAGTATTGTTGCTAGCGCAAAAGAACAACACTTTTTCAACACAGACAGGTATAAGCTTGGCTTAGAGTACTATCGTAAAGAGATGCCACCTAGTTTGGAGGACCAGATTACCCTTGAGAAAACTCCGGCATATTTCTCTGATTTGATGACTCCAGAACGTATCTACAGAATGAATAGCTCAATAAAACTGTTAATAATAGTGCGGGAGCCAGTTACTCGCCTCATTTCTGATTACACACAACTTAAATTTGTTAAAGGACAAAGAAACAAAGAAATTGAAGAATTTGAAGATCTAGTACTTGATGAAAATGGAGAAGTTAATACAGGGTATAGACCTGTTCAAAGATCTATGTATTACCACTACTTTGTGAACTGGTTGGAGTTTTTTCGTCTGGATCAAATTCATATAACTAATGGAGATGCTTTGATAACTAATCCTTACCCAGAGCTGTACAATATAGAAACTTTCCTAGGAATTCCTCACAAGTTTTCACAACAAATGTTTTATTTTAATGCATCAAAAGGATTTTTTTGTATGAGTAAGGAATCGTTAGAAACACCATGTTTGAGTGATACTAAAGGACGGCCACACCCAAAAGTAGATCCAGAAGTTCTGGAAAAATTGTATGACTTCTTCAGACCAAGAAATAAATTATTCTTTATCCAAGCAAAACAGACATTTGATTGGCCGTAGGTAAAATGGACATGGACTTCATGAAATTGTTAACACATTGGATTTTGCTTGATATTACATAGATATTATTTATAAAAGAAAAATTATTTGCATCAATAATTTATTTAGATTGTGTCTGATATTGTATGTCCAGTTTTGACACAATCTTTTTCAAGTACAACCCTGGTCATAAATGTTGGATTTTAGTATGGCCACATTTCTAAATATAGATCAGACAATAGTATAGAGAGGTAAACTGAAGAATATCTAAGGAATACAAAATACTGATTTTGCCAAACACATAGACAATTCACTAGTGGATGTTCAGTCTGCAGTTTAAACAATTTTAAAATATGGGATGTGACTCTTGCAATATATGGTGTTCTTTTTTATGTCTCTTTGGCATATTGTAAGATGTTGTGTCAGTTAAATGAGAAGTGAGGCTGCTGGATTTGAATCCCTTGCCCCTCATGCCTGTAGGTTTGAATCCTGTCAGGAACTTTGGATTATTTTAAGTGAGGAATGTATCTAGCTGGTTGGTGGTTTTTCTCAGGTGCCCACTAGCGACTTAAATAATCCATAATTCAAGTTGGGCATCTGATGTCTTCCACCACTTAGCTAAAATGTCACACTGTGACCTTTATAGTGTCAGTGCCAGTTAAAACCAAACCAAAGATAATTTATTTAAATGCAAAATAATTATTTATTGTAAAGTTTATAAATGTTTCCTTATGGACCGCACTATTACAATCTTTGTTAAAGATTTATCTTTTTAGCTCACCTGAGCTGGGTGAACTTTTAGGATCATTGATTGTCAGTCATCTGTCCTGATGTAGTTCATTAACACACTAGTGGTCAATTTTTTTTTGCCTCCATTGTCAACAAACTTGGTAAGGATGTTTATTCTCAGACAAGTTCAAACGAGGGTCATCTCGAATGAAAAACTAGGTCAAGCAAGCCAAATATAGACATATCTTGTTTACATTTTAAAGGCAATTTTTTCAGTCCAAATATCCTGGGAATTTGTTAGAAAGTTGTTTTTATGAATTCTTGCTGAAGTTTGAATGGGTCAAAAACCAAATCACACACAAAAAATATGGAAAATTCTTGGCTACTATTTTGGCCCAAATGTGCTTGAAATTTATCAGAAAGGCTGAATTATAGCTTCAAATATGGGTCATGTGGGATCAAAAACTAGGTCACAGTCCAAGTATTGAAAAACCATGTTAACACTTCAGAGGCTACTGTTTCAGTCTACATATCAAAGGTTCCTTGTATTGAATTCTAGCGCAAGTTTGAATATGGATCATCTGGCATGAGAGACTAGATCACATAGCCCAAATATGGAAAAACCTTGTTAACATTCGTGAGGTAATATTTTCAGCCTAACTTATAATTCCTGAAATGGGTATGAAAGATTGTTTTGAAGATTTCTAGCTTTAAATATTGGTTGTCTGGGGTCAAAAAAGGTCACACAGCCCCAATATGGAAAGAAACCTTACTAACACCCTGCTTTTTCAGCCAAACATATCAAAATTCAATTTATTAATGTCAGTATAGGGGTGTCCATGACAGAGTGGTTTATGGAATATCTAATTTTTTTACTCGAGTGTCTGTGCCTGAAATAAGACAGAAATGGTCACCTGAGGTCTTCCTCCACCAGTTAAGCAGGAAAAAGATATAAAAAATTTCCATACAACCATTAGTGTGTTGGTGCACTTATAATCACTCTATATCACTTCATTAACATTTAATATAGTAATTGCGTACACAAAAGATTGTGACAAAAAAATAAAAATGACAAAGTTTTTATGAAGTAAAAATCATGATTTATGTAAGATTACTGTGATGACAGCACAGTAAAGCAAAAACTAATTGTCATGCCTTTTGGTGCAACACTTAAATACATTAAATTCTTATATACAGTAACAGAAATATTTTGTGGCTTTTGAAGACAAAGTTACATGTATTTATATTTTGCTCTTGTACATAACAATTATAGGAAGGTATTTTTACTAATACTTGTGTTAATTTTCCATTTGGAAAGATTTGTAGATAGTAGTTTACTTATGAACTCTGTGAGTTTGATTATGATGTTAATTGTCTATAATATAGATGATGTATTGATATATTTATCCCCCACACCTTTACAGTGGGAAGGATTTTTTGTTTGTTTATTTTTTGCTATGTCATGTCAGTAGGTAGATTATTAATTTTCATTTCTTCTGAAAAAATACTTCTTAGTGCAATTTCATTTAAATATTGAAGACAGGGCCAATCTTCCCAGTATGATTGTTTGTTGTCAGTGGAAGATACTTAGCAACCGCTAGTCACAGTAGAGAGTCTGTAATTCGTTATAAAGAAATTCTTTTAAGCTCAAACTCAGATCTTCGGTATTTGATTGGTCAGAAACTGTCGCAGAATTAAAATCCAAAGATATGAGACAGAGCTAAAAAGTTTTATAACCACGAGACCAGGTGCAATACTGTCTGTAGCCCAATATTTGAATTTTGCTATGGATATCCCTTATACATGGTCAGTTTCAGATTCAAATCTGACATTAGTTCAGTAAAAGTAAACTCTAAGCATCAAAGGTTATTATAGATGAATATCTTTTTATGGATGTCTTGTTTTTTTCACACAACTTTTGTTGGTTGACATGTTCCTTTTACTAATGAAGTTGTATAATAATGCTGTTATGTTGTAATATACGGGTAATGTTAGTGTTTTAGATCAAAGACATCTCTCTTACAAAGTGTATAAAGCTATATATCTGTTGTCTATAGTTTACAAAGTTTTATTTTTTTTATAAATTCCAAAATATGACAGATATTATTATTGAAGATCTTGTTTTGGAAGCTTTTAATCTTTTTATGTACAATATTTATGTGTGTTAAATAACAGAAACATTGTATGATATAACTCTTGTGAGAATCTTCCATACAACATAATTTTCCCGTTTTAAATTTTTTACATAATATTTCATCAGATATAGCTTTATTCACTAATAGGAGCCTAATACCAATATATTTATTATATTATACATGTTTATTTTTTCTTACTGAAGGGACTCAGCTGAGGTTTTTTGACATAATAAGACTGGAAATATTTTTTCTAAATTTGTATACCAATTATTGAGGGATCTGGACCAATAAGTAGAGTAAAAATTTTTGTGGTCATTCCCTCACCCTATATTTCTGGATAAATCATGTTTATTCCACAAAATAACCCAAAAATGAAGTGTTGCAATACAGTTAAGATTCTCACAAAAATCGATTTTCAGTTTAATTCTACATATATTTTTTATTATTTTTTGCAGGGTTTTTAATTTTAAGTGCTTCACTAAGTCTTGATATATGTGTCTTTGGACCTCAGTGGAGTTCCTTAAACTCATGATGATGATCAACTAAAAGGACCCTTGTGAATTTTATATACAAAACATTGACATTATATCAATTAATATTAATTAATATTGTAGTATTTTACAAGTAGAAAATTAATGCATTTTAATGTCTGTTATTGAGAAATTTGTACACTCAACTTACATAAAGTTTTCCTGAAAATGTGATGCTCTTAAATTCGATATTTATTGTAAAATTATTTTGCTTCTTCTAACAGCAAACCTAAGATTCAGGTTTTTCTTTTGCAATTTTAGCAGAAGAAATTATAAATCTACACTTAACTTTTATATCTCAAATAGATTGGAGAGCAATTTTTTCTCAATTTAGCAAAGATAAACTTAGAGACAAAATTGTTTAGTACTTGAAATCCATGTGTTTAATACTGTATTGATAATTATGATAAGATATTATGTTAATTTGTATAGAGGCTTAGATTATATTATGTTTTTATCCTGTCTTTGTAAAAATTGATTGTGAACATTTTAAGTGATAATTTTATACTAGTTTTATAGTATTAAATTGTCATGGTTATTTGTACAATGATAATTTGTTTTTTTTAATGTGATAATATTGAAGGGTTGTTGTTGTACAGTTGTACCTGGTGATGCCTCGTAAAATAACAAAAATACAACTTCTTGGTGCAAAACCCAAAATATTATTGCAGTTAAAAAAAGTATTTTGGGCTATTTTCAGTCTGAATGTATTGAGAATATTTCATGTACATAAGTTTTATGAGCTGCTTGCAGTTATTTCATATCTAAAAATGTCTTCATTTTACTGAAATCACAAAAAAGCTGGATTTTTATATTTTACTTTTTCATGAGATTAATGTGAAGAAATTTCATTAAATTTGATTTCATATGATGAGAATTAATAGTCAGTAAGGTATATACTTAATTTACAGGTTATTCTATAAAAGATGCTTTTGCTATAAGTTTGTTAATAAATCTTTTTATTTAGCTGCTGGGACAACACAATATTTGTTTTTGCAAAACTTATTTTTATCTATGAATATTATTTTCTAACTCAGGTGAATAATTTGGACCACTTTGAATTTATCATTTTAAAATGATTGGTTTGTATACTGTATTATTGAATTAATTATTTTATATTTTCCACGTATGACAGCCAAAAATATCTAGATTCATCTTCAGAACTTGACCAGATATCTCTGGAACTTGACCAGATATCTTATTTGGTGACAAGAATCTTATTACCACACAAAAAATGCTTTACAGCCCGTTTTTTTTCTCTTGAATACACTTGTCAAGTTCTCATTTTTGGAACTGACCATTATCAAATTAGGATATATTGATATGAAAATTTGAAGTTGGTCAGCCAACAGTATAGAGTTGTTCAGTCTGACCATGCAGGCTATTATACTGGTGGCAAACACAAATTACAAGTCAAGCAGGGTGAAAATAAAGTTTATAAATTGTCACTCTACCTCAAAAGAAAGTCAAAACACTCTAGATCAATGTTTTAGTTTTATTTTATTCTATTTACTCATTAAAATTTAGATGCAGGTCATTGAATTTATTACATTGCAGATTTTTTACATGTATAACCATTATTGGTATGGCATTTAGATTCAGTTGGAATGTCCTATCTGTCAACATTTAGAATTATGGAAATAGAAAAAAAGTAGAACCCAGTAATACTGTGTTAAAAATTGTCTACCCATGTGTAAGTGTGTAAAATAGCTGATGTGTTATACTGTATTCTTTTTATTTATTTCTGAAGAGTCAACAATTTGTCATTCCCTACAAAGGTAACTCATGTTGAAAACAGGCAAAAATAAAATTGGAATTTTTAGCTCGATTATTCGATGAATAGGGAGATCTATTGTACTCGCATCACATTTCAGTTATTTTTTGCTTTCAACCAAAAGTACTGAATGGAATGGGTTGAAAATTCACACTTTTATTGAAAGCATAATAGGCCTCTGTCCAAGACCCATAATTCTTTTTGATTTTGACAGAATTATGACCATTTTTGAAGTAAGAAAATTCTACATTATCCATACCCTTGTTTTACTATGAAGCACTTTGAATAGTCAAGCACACAGACCAGTGCCACAGTTTTTGTTCAATTCAGTGTTTTCTAATATAGAGATATATTTAGACCAACCATTACAAACCAGTTCCACAAAACAATTATAATATTGTTATTTTTACTTAATTAGAGAAACAATTGCCAATTCATTGATAATTCTGCAAAGTGAGTTTAAGCTTTTTGTTACAGCATAGCAATGGCATGAATGCATATAATATTTGAAACAATTTTAGAGACTTGGTTATCGTTCTTAATTAGATATACACATAAAGAGGTTTCAAACTCATGTTTTTAATTATTTATCTCACTTGAATGTAGACATTATCATAAACATGTTTATTGCCAAGTTATTATTTTACATCATTGAAGTTGAAAAGCACAAACTATTACAAGGGATTACCCAATGCCATTTTACCTACAATTATTCTTGGTTTGAAACATAAATTTGTTTGCACAGGTTCAAAAGTCATGTTGTTATTCTAGGTATAATTGAAAAGTACTATTTTACTTTTTATGATTATAATGGATGGAAATTCATAATATATTTTTGTTTTATTTTAAGATATCCTTTATAATTAACTAATGTGATCTTGTATTTCAGGGGGGAAAGTGGATATGATATCACTGAATCATAAGTCACTGATATACAGTAGAGATGTGTTTGAAATTTTATATATTTAATAGAATATTTACTGTTAGAAATAACCAAGTAACTCAAAGAGATTATTATGGAATTATTTTTGGATATTACAGCCATAACTTGAAAAATTGTTGTATAATTATTAACCATTACCAACCTAAAATAGCTTAAATAGACTTGTCCATCTTTCAAACTAGGCAAAACCATTCATCAATTTTAGGTAAAATTTGAAAATTAGTACTGACTAAATAGCAAACTGCACATATGATGATGAGACCACATAGATGTGTCAGCTGATCTGCGTCTGCACTTGTTACATGGCTAGAATCTGTTGCCATTAGGCTAAGAGTTTGAACCTTTTGTTCCCATTGCAGTTTCTCAAAATAATTGTCAGTAATGTTCAGTTATCTATGCTAGGACATGAAATAACCATGCCATGTGCAGCATATACATGTATGATAAGTCTTAACTTTATGTACACACATGAACAAATGAGACAAAAAAAACAATGTATGCATTAGGAGTTTAATATTCACACTAAACTTGTTATTGTAAGTCAGAGTGTTGGATAGTATAAACACAAATATGTCAAAGTAAAGCATCTTCAGAAGTTTGAGAGATAAAGATATTATCATTTTTCAAGAAAAAATTTGATGACATAAGAAAACCATGATCAAAGTCAAAGTTTGAAATAACTATTTCTCCATTATATATTGGCCTTACAAACATATCTGTAAGGTTTCTACATAAATGGATCAGAAATTGATATGCATCATTAGTACCACACAAACAAATCTATTTATTTCTACATAAATTGATGTGTATTATCCCAGACACACAAACAAATCTGTTGGTTTTCACATGAATTTAAACAAACTACTTGATTTCTTAACGAATTGATGTGCATTATTCCAGCCACACAAACAAATTGCATGATTTCTACATAAATTGATGTGCATTATTCCAGCCACACAAACAATTGCTTGGTTTCTGTGCATTATTTCAGCCACACAAATTACTTGGTTTCTACATTAATTGACAAACATGTTACTAGTCATACAAGCAAGTCTATTGGTTACTACATAGCCAGACAAACAAACGATAGGTTTTTCTATAAACTGATTTGCATTTTACAAACACACATACACAAGTCTATTATATTTTTCTGTATAAACAGGCATAATTTTAAAATATTTTTTTCTTTTATATCTTGAATGGATAAAATTGAATGTGACATATATTTATTTACATACATGATTTTACAAACATTTACTATCTCACATAATTTGATAATTTTGATATTTTGATGTATATGACTGATAAAAATGGAAAAACCAAAAAGCTTTGGCTTATAATAAATTTTGTATGTAATGGGAGATATGCAATGTCTCGGTTACCAAATGGTATATTTACTACTTTACTATTTTACCCTTGCTGTGTAAGAAAAAATAGTCCAGTTATAATAAAACATGAGATTCTTAAGATAAGTTATTGTTTTTTTGTTTTTTTCAACATCAAGGTCATTTATTTAACCCTTAACCTGTTGTAACCGAGTGGTTAGCCTTTTCCACGAGTATAGAGCCAGGCTAACCTACACATCTGTGCAGTCTGACCAGGCTTTATACTGATGATAGATGACTAATATTCATCTTGATATCCCTAAAATTGTTAATGGACAGTTCCAATAATGCAACCTGGACAAGTCCATTTAAGAACTTCAACAGGTTTAGGGTCAATTTCAATGTGCAATACATTTATACTTAACTTATGTTTGACAAGATAGTTAGTAATTTTAGACTTCAACATTTTTATATTGTAATCTTATAAGTTGACCACTGCATGTATTTATTTATTTCATCTATCATGATAAGTTTACCCTTTAATAGCAATCCATTTCAAAACCTAATTGCAAGTCAATAGTGGAGTTCATTTTGTTTAAGCTCAAACTAATGTATTTTTGAAAATGAAGACAAATGAACTAATCTAATAAAGTTCAATTAAAAAAGTGTTGTCTTATTATTTATTTTGTATCTCATGGAGATGTATTTGGTCATTCTGAATTCTTCACAGAGGATTTTTTTCTTCACAGAGGGATTTTTGTTTCTTCCCCCCTCCCACCCCTAGCTATAAGCCATACAATGCACACAGATGAGGGGCTTTTGGCCATTTTACTGAAAAACAGCTGCAGCTATGAAGTTTCTGATTCATGTAAATATATGTAAATATTAAATGTTTTATAAACAAAGTTGACTATTTCTTGTAAACCACAATAAAGAACTAAAGGTATATGTAGATTAAGACATTTCAACATAACTAATGTAGAATATCTCCAGCTTTAGAAGGAGGTCATATATAATTTTCAGCACTACATGCAGGTAGAATCGTCTGTAAACAAGCTAGATAACTTCCTCTATTAGAAGCTGGACAAGTATGTTTAAAAAGTTCAGCAGTGTAAGGGTTAAACTTCTCCAAAAGTGCTAAGCCTATAACTTTGATATTTGGTATGTAGCATCATCTTCTAGTATTTGTCTTCCATGAAGACATCAAATCATGGTCACAATCCATTTGATAGAGAGAAATAAGCAGAATTCAACATTTAACATGAAATGGTATAATTTTTAATTTAGAAAAATCTGCAGATGTGCTCATGGCCATTATCATGGAACCTTCAATGTGACATATGCCATTTCATGGTGAAAAAAAACATGATTGTGCAGTTTTATGGTACTATTTTGTACTTTTTAGTACATTATATTTAAGACGCGGATGCCAGTAAAACTTATCACTTGACTTCACCATCACATTCTAAATATAATAATCATACAACTATTCCATGCGATTTTGTAATTTATCAATTTTAAACAGCAAAATAAAACAAGAGGGCCATGATGGCCCTATGTCAATCACCACAGTATAAAAGCTCAAAATAACAGAGGACTGATAATATTGATATGGACAGGCATTATGTCAGAATCTAATTGAACTGATATCAAAGTTCAAATCTGCACCTGAATCTGTGGCATTAGTCCACTTAACAATGTTTCATTCTAAATATCAAAGATACAGCCCTTGCAGTTTTCAAGAGGAAGATTTTTGAAGTATATGATATATAAGCAAAAGCCATGACCCCCTGGGCAGGGCCAGTTTTGACCCCAGGGCTATAATTTGAACAATTTTTGTAGTTTAAACAGATGAAGCTACACTCAAAGTATCTTAGCTCTAGGTCTTGCACTTTAAGGGAAGAAATCTATTTTTAGCCTTTCTGACCTAGATGTCAATGGAGTAGAACTATTAGAACAATTTTAGTAAAGCTTCATGCTAGGAACATCCCGTGAAAATTTTATCCAATTTGACCCAGTGGTTTCTGAACAGAAGTTGTTTGTAAACAAGAAATGTCAAACCACACATATGCCCCCCTACTAGCCCTTGACTTACATTATTGGTAATTTTGTTATAGAAACTTGCCATAAATGGGTACATGGAAGTGTTCAGTTATGGAAAAAAGAAAAATAATGAAGACTGTGATAAATAGTTTTCAAGATAATGAGTGGAAACCATTGACATTTAAGGCCCCTGTGAACTAGTAACCCAAAATCAATAGGGGTCATCTAATAGTTACTACCGATCAATATTAAATATATGAAGACTGTGATAAATAGCTTTCAAGATAATGAGCGGAAACCATATTAACATTTAAGGACCCTGTAACCTTGACCTTTGGCCTGGTGACCCCAAAATCAATAGGGGTTATCTACTAGTTATGACCAATCAATATGTGAAATATGACGACTTTGTGATAAATAGTAACCAAGATAGTGAGCAGAAAGCATTCTAACATTTATGGCCCCTGTGACCTTGACCTTCAACTTGGTGACCCCAAAATCAATAGATGTCATCTACTAGTTATGACCAATCAATTATTCAATAGTGAAATATAAAGACTTTGTGATAAATAGTAACCAAGATAATAAGTTGAATTCATACTACCATTCAAGGCCCCTGTGACCTTGACTTTTGACCTAGTGACCCCAAAATCAATAGGGGTCATCTACTTATTATGACCAATCAGTATGTGAAATATGAAGACTTTGTGATAAATAGTAATCAAGATAATCAGTGGAAATTATTCTGACATTTCAGGCCCCTGTGACCTTGACCTTTGACCTAGAGACATCAAAATTTTTAGGGGTCATCTACTTGTTATGAACAATCACTATGTGAAATATGAAGACTTTGTGATAAACAGTTTTCAAGATAATCAGAGGAAACCATGTGGTCTCTCGACGGACACACCGATGGATAGACACTGGACAAATTGTGATCACAAAAGCTCAACTTGAGCTCAGGTGAGCTAAAAAATCAATAAAAAGGTTATACACACAAAAGACAAAACAATGAAATACATATTTTTCATATATTTTAATGACACATCATTTATTTAACAAAAACACAATTGAATTTATGTTAATTTAAAAGCACTCTTGGCAAAAAATATAAATATGTTCATATAAATGAAACATCAATATGAAAACTATGGTAAGTTCATATAAAATGTTAGTTTTCACATAATTAGACAATGAATATACATGTTATAAAATACAACAAAACAAATGCTTTTATGTACCCAAAGAAAAAAAGTTATGCACCTTAATGAATTTCAGAAATAAATAAAATATTAAAAAAAAAAACTTTGTGTGAATTAATAACTGGCATTTTTTTCTTTCAACATTCTGGCAATGGGAAAGTTGTTTTGTCTGAGAGACATTAAGATTTCTTATCAAAATGTGAAAGGTAATATGTAACAAAAATGTCTGTGCATCTCAAATTTGAGGGGTGCTTAACTGTTTTCTTTGTGTTTATTCTATGTACTTAAAATGCCCTTAGAAACATGTTTATCATGCATAGTTGATCAATTTGATAAATAAAGAAAAAATTTGCATTTAGAGCACATTATGCCAGAATCAAAATATTTTTGCTAAAATAAGCATATGCTCTTTATTAAACATTAAACACATTCTCATCAAACAAATTGCCTGTGACAATCAGGTACCTCTGTAATTAAGGTGCCTCAGATAGTTAATCTGCCATGTTTTCAGGAAAGATACAATGTCATCAAAAGTTGTATAATAACAAATACCACAGTAAAAAAACAATCATTCTGCACCTTGTTTATCAGATATAGGATCTATTAATGCCTATACATGTATAAATCCAATAATGACTAGCAAAACATTTGATTCATATTTCATTTATAAAACAGTTATTTTTAATGCATAAACAAGTTCTGTATTTCAGTTTCTATGTATTTTCTCATTAATATAATAGCTGAGCTTTCTTACCATCAATATAGTTGAGAACTTATTTTAACAATATAAATTAATCTGTATGTATTATATCTATCAACAGAATATTGATTATGAATTTAGTCCATGCAAATTTATTTCGTTAAAAAATCCTATTTCCATATAACAATGCTATATAAATATTGATGGAAAAGGACCAGGTTAAAATATAACATTTTATAAACCAGATTCATATTTCCATGCAAATAGAGGTTCTTCTTTCCATACATTCAAACATTTTCCCTGCCGAATTTCTAGTATGGAAGTGTCCCCTAACTTAAACAGTTCATTGTTAACTCTTTACCTGTAGAAACTGAAAGTGACCAGCCTTCTCCACCTGTACAGAGCCAGACCAGCCTACAGACCTATGCAGTCTGACCAATCTTTATATGTTTGCAGATCAACTTCAAATTTTCATCTAAATATCCCAAAAATTGATAAACAGTTTCTAAATAAGTCTATGTAAGAAATTGAGTAGGTTAAGGTTTAATATCATAATTTAAAGAATAGAGTCATTGACGTGTAGCCTCAACCATGGTCCTACACTGGTGGCATAGTTTGACCTAATTACGACTGCTGAAACAAACAAGAGCTGTCGGTAGGACAGCAACGCTCGACTATTCTTAGTGCTAGATAGTAAAAAAAAATGCTTGATACAATTACCTCCTCCTGTTTACAGGTTTGGGTAATGATGGTGAACAAGTGTGCAAAGTTTCAAAGCCATATGTCAATGGACTTTGAAAATATTTGAACTATTACAAAAACTTTAACGTAAATTCCAAGTCAAAAAAGGGGCATAATTCTGTCAAAATGCTTGATACAGTTACCTCCTCCTGTTTACAGGTTGGGGTAATGATGGTGAACAAGTGTGCAAAGTTTCAAAGCCATATGTCAATGGACTTTGAAAATATTTGAACTATTACAAAAACTTTAACATAAGTGGTTACGCCGACGCAGACGCTGACGCCGACGCTCAGGTGACTACAATAGCTCTACTTATTCTTATCGAATAGTCGAGCTAAAACTATAGTACAAAATATCACTTACACAACCCAAATTATTGGACACCTGTATATATACCCTGTGATAAATAACTTTTCATTATTTTAAAAAGCTCTTCAATGCACATTTCAGTAAACATTCTGTCCTTTTCATCCCTCATCCAACTGTTAAAGACTGAGTAAGATGAGTGTAAAGTCAGATATTTTTTATTGATGTCAAAATATTACAAAATCAATTTTTCTGCCTAATTCACAAGGTTAAACATTAATGAATTTCTACTCTCAGCTCTGTTAAATTGATATGATACTTAGATACTTAGTAAACAAATCTACAATTTGCCAAATATAAATAATTCAATCCCTCATGAAAATTTCTGATTTTACAGTGAGTATATAATGACTTAACCTGTATCTCTCTTTCTTGCCATATACTTAACAAAAGAACTTAATTCAACCATGATTTAACAAATAAAAACTTAAACCATGTACTAAATTAACATCTGTATAAACAAAAACATATCAAAATTGAGGCTTTAATATTGTCTTTAAAACCATGCAGGTGTCATGTAATTTCATTGGCTTCAAACTACACCCTAATTACACCATTATACTCATATCTGATATGATAAACTTGTCACATGTATGTATCGATACCTGTACATAATGATCACATGTTTTCTAATAACCAATGATTATATAACAATTGTTTATTCAAATAATTTCTAATAGTCAATAACCATTGGCTTATTTATAGTAGCTGTATATACATGATGATTTGTTCATGAAAATGCATATTTCTGGTTAGAAACAGATACCACTATAGTGTTTTACTTTCATATCGGCAACAGCATTTAAATCTTCATTTTACACTTTCCTTCTCTCTATGTCATAATCACACACATATAGTATAATAATATCACACAATATCTGCTTGCATATCCTCACATGTGTATATACATATATATATGAAACATGTGACACACAATCTAGCCAGACCCTGGTGAGATTCAGTACTCTATCTGTCTCATTGGCTGAATATTTTCAGAAACCTGTACAGGAAATAAAAACAACAATAAATTATCAACTGCCAATAAGATATGTTGAATTACAAGAAAACACCAGCATTGCTAGTTTTGGATTAATATTTTCATACAAATATTTTAGTATCTTGTAATATAATGTAAAAAAATTCTTTCTTTACACCAAGTATTGCAGTAGTTTGTAATGTATAACTTTATTTCACACCTTATAAAATTTAACCAATAAACTTCCAGTGTCTGTTCAAAAAGAAATTATTGTTGGATTGAATATGATCAATAAAGCTTGTTTTATTTCCCCAGTCCCAAAAAAGTCCAAAACAAATCCATATTATAATTCATTTAGCCATATGTTCAAAATTCCATATCAAATCTATATATTGTACCCAAAATAAAAGTGTTCTGTCTAAATGTTAAAAATTGGTGGTGTAAAATAGTCATTATATATTGTTAAATACAATACTGATTGTTTTGGACTTGTGTACATCTGTAAAACCTATATTGATTGTCTGGATGGTTAAAGAACCATGTAAATGATGTATGGCAACTTTCTAGCTTAACTGATGGAGAATGACTATCTGAAATAACACAAAGCCTAATGTCTTTCATTTCTGACAATATATTACCACTAAATCATACATCAGCTTTGAAAGGACTATAGAAAACTGAAGACCTCTCGTTTGAACCTAAACCATTGATCAAAAGGTCAAATATTTCTGACGAAATTATTACCTGAAATTCACAACCCGTACATTCTTTAATATCTTCTACTGAAATGCCGTCTGCAAGTTCTTTCAAAATCAGTCCATGATCATGGTCAACATCAAATACACACTGAAAAAACACACACACAATATGTAAAGACAGTTCTAATAAAGTAAAATTTCACATTAAACAATGCTCTGATGCAATCCAAATATAGGAAATGTATCAAATATACTAGTTATTGAAAGTACACTTATCAATGTATTTAAATCTTTTAATAAAGAACACAATAAGTGATTGAAATATAATTGCTAAATGAAGTCTAAGACATTCGATAATTATATAGTTTTGTGATTATAGAAATTATTATATAATTATAGAAGTGAAATACCACTTAAAAGACCACATAAGACATTCTAATGACATGGTTTCAATATTATGTAATTTCTGCTCAATATTTTAGACTTTGGTTCCTTACACTAACTAAAATTTGCATGATTTTGAAAATGTTAAAAATAATGGTGTGATTTGTGGAACTAGGTTAAACTATTAATAGCATTAAAGTACAAATGGGCAGAAGAGCTGGTGTTGTTCTATAGGGAATCTATGTTACCTTAGTAGACTATTTTCCTGTAAGTCTACATTTAGTTTCAAGATATGTCAAAGAAAGTCATAAAGGACAAACTGATGGAAAGAAGAAAGAATAATACCAATTAAATAACCTAATTTTAGGACAATCACATGATCACCAGCAGAAAATGTGATATTTCTTTGTTCTTTTTTTCCATACAATTATATTTTTTTAATTTAAATGTAAGGACAACATTTCTGGGTTGTCGGTAGCTGGTGTAGTCTTGATATATAGTTACTTATCTATGAGGACACTACCAGTATTTCTGTTATAGTTTTCTGGTGAGAGACACAGTGATTAGTTCTTTCACTCAAAGCCTACTGGCAGCAATTGATTCTAACTATGTCATGTGGCCAGTGCAAACCATGATCACACAGCTGAGAAGTGGTCTCCACAGTTTGCTTTTCAGTCTTTGTAATATTTTTTAATTTTCCCCTAAAAATGATGAATGGTCTAGCCAGGCAAGTCGAATGTATCTGGTGGATAAGTGTTAAAAAAGCACCTACCTTTTCTGTGATAATCATGCTGACACATTTTTGACCTGTTAGAGGAAGTGTGCAATGATCTAAGATCTTATGATCATTATTTTTAGCTGCATGCTCCATGGTTACAATGACCTTGTTGCCACTGGATACCAGATCCATAGCTCCTCCCATACCTTTTACCATCTTTTTCTAGTTATAAAAATAAGTATATAGAGGATATTTTTTTCTAGTGAAATACTGAAAATATCTCACTTACAAGTAATTTTTTTCCAAAGCACAAAAATCTCTATATGACAAATGTTCCACTTTGCTATACCCCTCAATGTTTAAAAACAGGTATCAAAATTCTATATTTCATCAAGTTACAAAAAGTGTCAATTATATTTCACTGATATATTTAAGTTCTTCATTCAAATCCATAAGAACAAGAATGTGTTCTCTACTATATCTATTCAAGCTTTTGATGGTAATATAATCTGACTGTAAACTGGCAAAGAATGTAGAGCTCAGAACCTGTACATGGTGTATTCATATAACATTTAAATCATTTTATAACTTGAATAAAGGAAAATCATGCTAAGCAAGCAGTGCTGCAGTGTCCTTAAACAATAGCCTACATCTTAGACCTCTACACAAGAAATGATCCTACTATGTCCGACTACTGATGCAATCATCCTCCAGTTATTGTGCATGAAATAAGTGGTCCACTTATTTAACAAATGAGAGTCAAAAAATATTATTACTCTTCTTGCATAAAAATATCCCAAGAAATTTGGATATGAAAACATAAACTTACTGGAATCATGTAGTTTGCTAGATCACCATACTTTGACACCTGCATAGCACCAAGAATTGTTATATCAACATGACACCTGTAAAAGAATATCAACTGAAAACTGAAAAGGTTCACCCAAATAAATGGTCACAAAGTATCTCTCATATAAATTTAACAGAACTGAAATTAGAAATTCTCAAAAATTTAACCAAGCTAATTTGTTGGGAATGTTGTTATTGTGAAATTATGTCATCCAGAAAATATCTATTGAAACACACTTCACTATTCCCTATCAAACAGACGGGGGCAGTCGAGTGTTTTATTGCACGGCATGAAAAAGGAATACTAACAAGTCACATGACATCAGATGTGACGTCAATAAACCAATTACTTCTCCATGTACTTCAACATAGTATTACTTTTATCATTTCTCTATTTATAAGCATGTTAGAATGAAAATAGATATAAATTTTCTCCCGTTGTATTATAATAAGGTACGCATTATTGTTCAAATGCTACCGGCCTTCATGATTATTTTCCTTCTCATTTGAACTAGAAACATGTATTACTTTACAAGAACACACTATAAATTGATACCTATTTCCTAAATTTACAGTACTGGAATCAGACCATGACACATGTAATACAGTATCATAATATTCCTACAACAATATGATACTTGTAAAACAGAATATTAACAGTGAAAACAAAACTTTGTGTTATTTTACAGTCCCACTGTGTTATGAAAAGAGAACTGCAGTAATTATTTGTTGTCTTAAATTATATATAATTACCCTCTGATCATGGCAAAAGATTCATCACTGGAGAAGAAAGAGCTGCCACTCAAATTTGTTACAGTTTCTTTTCCAGCATTAATTAAATCTGGGTCAACCTGATCCTCTGTTGGAAATGGCCCCTACAAAAATCAGCAAATCATTATTACTTAAATTACTAGGAAGTCATGTGATAAAAAGGTTTACATAAAGAAAATGTTTGTACATGTATTAAATATTTACATCAGCAACATCAAAATAATGGTAAGTCAAGTAGTGTCAAAGAACTGGTTAAGCTCTAAACTGCTGTCAAAATAAAATATTGCTGGTCTATTAAAAACTAAATAATTTTAAACACTGTATAGTGACAGTCTCTATGAGTTTAAGTCAGCCAGAAGAAAATTAATGCTTTTATATTCGTACTCAGAAATAATTTATAAATGCAACAAACTTAACCCTTAACATGCAGATTTTTTTATGAATTCATTTTCCCCAGTATTTAAATTGGGACAGTCCATTCAAAGTTAAAGGAATTTCATTATCAAAAAACAAAAACTGAGCTACCAACATAACAGAACCTGGTCAGACTACATGGAAGTGCAGGCTGGCCTGGCTTTGATATACTGGTGGCAAAGGTTATCAATTTCCTTACAAATAGGTTACGGGTTAACAGTCAGATATCCTTACCAGGCCTAAGATTCCATTTTCACTTTGCAGATGGACAACCATTCCAGGTGGCAAATGGTTACTGGCTAACATCGGCATTCCTATACCTAAATTTGCTGAAAACTTTGTTAAGGAAATACGTAAAATAGTGACAAAGGGGAACAACTCCAAAAGTATTGAAAGTGGTCCTCTTGCATTAATCCTTTCCCTTGAAAGTTCATTACATAGAAATTCATTTCTTATACAAATGACAATGACCACCTAGACATTGTGGGTTGCCATTTTTTTGTACTGCATAGTAAAACAAGAGGGCCATAATGGCCCTGAGGTCGCTCACCTGTATAAAGGCACCCGGAGCGGGGCCAGTTTAAACCCCAAGGCTTTTATTTGAACAAACTTGGAAGACACCCATTAGAAGATATTTCACGATGTTAAGTTTTTACTACACACATATAATGAAAAACAATGATCTACCCCCCTCCTTCCACCCTTCCCCCCACCCCCCGCAGGGCCAATTTTAACCCAAGGGCTTTTATTTGAACAAACTTGGTAGACACCCATAAGAAGATGTTTCATGCTAAACATCTAAGCTCTAGCTGATTGGGTTTTTTTAAAAAAAGATTGTTTAAGTTTTTACTATACACATATAGTTAAAACCAATGAGACCCCTGGGGCGGGGCCAATTTTGACCCCAGGGCTTTTATTTGAACAAACTTTGTAGACAATTACTAGAAGATGTTTCATCCTTAATATCTAAACTCTAGCTATTTTGGTTTTTTCAAAGAAGATTTTTAAGTTTTTGCTATACAAATATAAGGAAAATCAATGACCCCCGGGGCGGGGCCAATTTTGACTCCAGGGCTTTTATTTGAACAAACTTTGTAGACACTCACTAGAAGATGTTTCATGCTTAATATCTAAAATCCAGCTATTTGGGTTTTTTCAAAGAAGATTTTTAAGTTTTTGCTATATACATATAAGGAAAATCAATGACCCCCGGGGCGGGGCCAATTTTAACACCAGGGCTTTTATTTGAACAAACTTGGTAGACACCAATTAGAACATGTTTCATGCTAAATATCTTAGCTCTAGCTCTTTGAGTTCTTTAAAAGAAGATTTTTTAAGGTTTTACTATGTGCATATAGGGAAAATCAATGACCCCCTGGGGCGGGGCCAATTTTGACCCCAGAGCTTTTATTTGAACAAACTTGCCCATGCGACCATGTGTATTAAGCGACTTTTGTCTTAAACGACCATTTTAAATTCCCCCCGATCATTTTATTTCTATATCTTTAATGTATTAAGCGACTTTTGCTCAAAGTGACCAGCGACCGCTAATTAGTCACCAAATTGAGATAAATCTTGTCATTAAACGGCCACTTTTACCTGTCAAGTAATTGTGTTTTTAGAGAACGCCACCTGGTAATGTCACAAGTGTCAACAATCAAAACACAACACATAAACGTGTGAAAAACTCTATTTCCCAAACCGTTTTAGCGTATGCAAATGAAGTTAAGTATACGCGTGACGTGTATTATCCAATAATATCGGATAAACAATGCAAGGCTCCGCCCCTACTGAGATGGTGCATACGCTTCGCTTGTTGACATTTAGACTGCATTGAATTGACCTTGAACTTGATCAGCAATTTAATTAATCGTAACAATTAGATGTAGTTTGTGTTTATTTCAAATGAAAAAAATGCACAACAGAAAACTTCTTCACTAATAGGGGTTTCGTGTTGGAATCAAGGAAAATTAACGGAGAAGTTGAAAAAATCTGGAAAAATGTCAAACATGTACGTAATGGATCAAAACTGTTTTGTCAATAATATCAGAAAGTTATTTTTTACATTTGCATCCATTAAGATTATCGGAGCGTACTTATTATTCAACATGTTAAACGAAGTTGAAAAACATTCCCACCGCATAAGAAAGATGTCATTTATTAATTTTGACTTTTATATCATGCTGACTGTCTTAAGAGACCGTTTCATTAAGCCACCGTTTTGGGTGTTTCCGGTCGCTTAATACACGTTTGACTGTATATGCATATAGGGAAAATCAAAGACCCCCTGGGGCAGAGCCAATTTTGACCCCAGGGCTTTTATTTGAACAAACTTGGTAGACACTCATTAGAAGATGTTTCATGCCAAATATCTAAGCTCTAGCTCTTAGGGTTTTAAAGAAGATATTTAAAGTTTTTTCTTTCGGTTGCCATGGCAACCAGAGTTCTGCATGGAATTAAATTCTTTGAACAATTTTTAAAGGTGACCACCAAAGGAACATTCCTGTGAAGTTTGGATGAAATTGGCTTAGTGGTTTATGAGGAGATGTCATTTAAAGTAAAAGTTTACGGACGGATGGACGCCGGACGGACGCCGGACGAAAAGCGATCACAAAAGCTCACCCTGTCACTTTGTGACAGGTGAGCTAAAAAGAGTATGGATAATATAAGTGCATCCAGTAGGTCTATTAGGAACTGGATATAAACAAGAAACAAACATTAACAGGATACTGTTACAAACAGGATACAATACTTAACAATGAATTATCTATTTTTCCTAATATATAATATTGTAAATTATCTGATCTTCACATAAAATATGAGTCATCATGTTGTGGAGAAGTTATTTTGTTCAAATTAAATTTTGTGAACATTGGGGAATTATTCCAACAATATTGCCTAGTAAATGTAAAATAATATCACAAAAATAAGTATTCATTAGGAACAACATAATAGGTTTGTTATTTTCTAAAATGTCAATGATTTTTAAGTTAAAACCAAAACTCAATAACTGAGATAAAGAATTTAAAATATTATAAGTTAAAGTAATGTTAGGCTTGAAAAAAATAAGGGAATACTTTGTAATGGCTTTATAATTGGGATGTTTAGGCATTACTAGCTTTAAGCAACTGACAGAGGATAAACAATTTAATATAAACCCATGATGTACATGATCCTTCACTTTAACTAACCTACATTTATTTAGAGTGGCAATCTGAAGTCATTTGAGGAACTCACTCCCGAAGACTTCTAGCCCTTACCATGCTAAACATCTGAAATAGATTATCTTTCATTATAAGGTTAAAGTTTTAAATTATGTAATAAATAGTGAACAGTGCAGACTTTGATCAGACCGTACAGAAGTGCTGTCTGATCTGGGTCCGCACTGGTCACAAGGGCAATTACAATTGCCACCAGTAGACTATGGTAAGTAAGGCCTTGTATTGACATATAGGATACCATACATTCCATCTTGAAACTCTAAAGCTGCTCGCTTGATAATTCTTAATCTCATTCTTTCTCCAGCTGTTAACTCATGTGGTTCTTCCTTTACTGCTTTTGTTATCTTTAACCTCTAAAATAATAAAACATATCTTACATACATATAAAATCACAGTGCCAGTGTTTGATTTCAGCTTTTCTCTAAAACAACTCACAGTTATATAGGCAACAGTGTCAACCTGTAGCAGTGAGCCCTGTGCCATAACTTATATATTGAAGCTACACCAAAATATAATTGGAAGGACATAATACCTTACCTAGTCTGATAATACTGACACCAGACTTACCAGTTTTGGAACTTCTCCTTCATGCCAAAACCTAAGCCTGGAAGCAACTCAAGTGAATTATTTAACTATTACCAATAAAGATACAACTGTTTATAATTATATACATGTACAAAGAAATAACAGACTGTAACTTTTAACTTGCATTACAGCTCATAACTGAGCACTTTCTTCACTATGGCCTCAGATTTAAAAATTTCTCAAAATATCTTAACAATTAGTTACTGGTAATGTAAACCTGATAATACGACTAACCTCTATCCTCTTTTCATATTTTGGTCCTTTGATGATTCTTTTCACGTATATATGTGGCACCTGTACGTCGTTCGGATCTATCTCTCCATTAGGTACTATCTCCTCTACCTCTGCTATTGTTACTTTAGCAGCTTTACACATGGGAACATTGAAGTTTCTAGCTGTTTTCCTGAAATTAATCATAAATAGCATATTTTATACAGTAATATACCATAAATGAAATACCAATCAGATTTCATATCTATCAAATTTGCTTTTTAAATAATATGGCCATTGACTAGGCTGGGTTTTAAGTCACATTGACTGTAGTCTGTTGTCATAAACATGTAATAATTTTCTTGCTTTATAAGTGGTTCATGTACATGCATATCACTACATGATTTCAGTTATAAGCCATTAGATAACATGTGTCACTGTATCCAACTGTATCACTAATTGGGGAGATAATATCTAGGGTTCACATCCTGATTAGGCTGCATGTTAATCTTACTTTGTGATACATGCATACCTTGTAAACTTGAATGTAAAATCAAATTCAACTTTATATGTGTAAAAAGATGATCTAAAGTGAGCAGTCACCTAAATATTAGATTTCCATTTTGGTCAGCTTTCCATGCCTTGATGAGAGCAAAGTCACCAGTGATTGCTTCTTCTAAGATATAGTTCCTGCCATTGTATGTTCGAGCCTGAAAATACATGTATGCCAGTTAGTCATCAACATGCTTAAGTGTCTGCTGCTTTCATGTGAAATCAGAGAAATAAAAATTTTGAAACTGTTTTAACTCCGAGAAATAATTAAGTTTGGTCCCAATTATGTACACTGAAAGGTTTGGCAAAGAGATCATTAAGTGATTAAAAATATATACTGGTGCCTCATATTTCCGTGGTACCCATATTTCCAAGGTATTAGGCATAAACAGTTTAAAGTACCTCCTAGACCTTCTGCACCTACCAGTAGTTTTACTTTTACTATTTTATTGTATTTTTATCGAAATGTTTCATATAGGACTGAATAAAATATTAATTTATTCAGATTAAGAGCAAAGTAATTTATTTCACCGGTTTACTTTTAGATTTCATATCTTTTAAGAAAATCTTCTTTGTTAAACAACCATTGTGATACTTGATAAATGCCAGAGAGAAAATACCCACTTTCAGATGTGTCTAGGTATAGATGTATTAAAAAATAAAGATTACTATTGGTTTTGCTTTTGAAACTGTTAAAATGTTTATCCTACAAAATTCAACATTTTTTCCAGAATTTTATCCTTTTAACTTTTGTTGTCTGTGTTAAACAGTTAAGTACCATGGAAATATGAGGCACCAGTATACAGAATAGTATGATGACATAGAAATAATCATTAAATGCATTTGGTGCCATTTCTTGGTAACACCTCACCAAATTCAATGCAAGAATAACAAGAGCTGTCACAGGAGACAGCGAAGCTCGACTAATAAAATGCTGGACGCAGTAAGGAGGACAAAACTATGAAAGAAAAATCAATTATGTATAATTAAGTATTAAGTTATAGTAAAAATATAACATTTGTTAACATAAATTCCAAGATCAAGGGGAATAATTCTAGAAATAGTCATGCAAGAGTTATGGACCTTGCCACACAACATTTGTGTAATGATAAGAAATATATATTTGAAGTTTGAAGTAGATATCTTAAAAAATAAAGAAGTTATTATATTTCTTAAAGAAAATCCTAAGTTCAAAGAGAGATAAATCTGTAAATATTGCTTTAAGAGTTATGAACATTGTCACATAAAATGTAAATGATTATAAGGAATAAGTATTTGAAGTTTGAGGTAGATACCTTTAAAAATAAAAAAGTTAAAATAAAAAATAACATTTTTCTAGTAAATAAATCTAAGTTTATGGGGAGATAATTCTTGCGATATTGGTGCTAGAGTTATGAACCTTGTCACATAAGATGTGGTTGATGATAACATAAATATATTTGAAGTATGAAGTTGATCCCTTTAGAAATAAATAAGTTACAGTAAAAAATAATATTTTGTATGGAAAATTCTAAGTTCAAAGGGAGATAAATCTAAAAATATTGGTGCTAGAGTTATGAACATTGTCACATAAGATGGGGATGATGATAATGTAAATATATTTGAAGTATGAGGTTGATTCCTTAAGAAATAAAGAAGAAACAGTAAGAAATATTATTTTTTGAGGAAAATTCTAAGTTCAAGGGGAGATAAATCTGAAAAGATTGGTGCTAGAGTTATGACCCTTGTCACATACGATGGGGATGATGATAAGGTACATATATTTGAAGTATGAGGTTGATCCCTTTAGAAATAAAGAAGTATAAGTAAAAAATAGTATCTTTTAAGAAAAATTCTAAGTTCAAGGGGAGATAAATCTGAAAATATTGGTGCTAGAGTTATGAACCTTGTCACATAAGATGTGGTTGATGATAAGGAACATATATTTGAAGTTTGAAGTTGATACCTTAAGAAATGACAAAGTTATAGTGAAAAATATTTTACTGCACCAAAACTTTAATCTTAAATCTGGACGCGGACGCCGACGCCGACGCCGGGGCGAGTAGGACAGCTCTCCATATACTTCGTATAGTCGAGCTAAAAATAGTATGGCATAAAATAATTAAAAAGAATATTGTTCTTTTTCATTGAAAAGTCACAATATTTGCCCAAATATAAGTATGTATAAGTTTCTATCCTAAATTAACTAATTAACTATATTACACAGAAGTTAAATATAGAAATTATTTCATCTTAACTGTAGACAGATAAATGAAATATTTGCAGGCTTGTTATCTGTACACAGGACTGATACATTAATACTAATTATTTTGATGACAAATATTACAAGTATTTCTCTTTTGTGAGTTTGATAATATTAATTTATGTTGCTTTGTTTGTTTTTAGTGAAAATGATGACACACAAAACTAGTGGTCAGCAAAAGACTCGATCATGACTCCCTCTGCCTTATAGTTGTGTAACTGTTGTAAATACACATTTACCAAGTCATCATAGCACAACTTTGTAGAATTCTAGATTTAGTAATGGAAAATATAAGTCAAGTCCTCCTATCTTATTTGACATTAGTATGCCATCAGAATCAGAACTAATGTATGAAACCTTCCATATTATTCTAGTAGTTAAAACAATTAAGTTCTATAAATCAACTCTTGAAGAACTGGTTAACTAATTGAGATACATGTAACTATGTTCTTTACACAAAAAGGGCTTTTTAAGATCTGCTTTTTGTTTCAAGATAATTATCTAAACTTGGCATAATAACATAAACATTTCAGTGAAAATATAGTTATAAGTCCTTGAATTTGTTTAACATCTAATTAATATAATACAAAACTTCCAGATTTTATTCATTAAAAAAAAAGATATGAATCTATATATTATGAAATATTTTGATAAAATTTATCAACAGCAAAATTATATTGGTTCCATTATTATATGGTAATGATTCCCCGAAAAAGTTGTAACATTGATGTCTCTGTTATTTAATACACATGAAAATTGTTCGTAAACAGAATAAAATGTTCCGGAACAAAATATTATTGTATTTCATGTAGGGTTTTTATGTTCCGGAACAAAATATTATTTTATTTCATGTAGGGTTTTATCTGATTATCTAGGCCTAATGATTTTGTGCATTTGAAGGCAAGAATTATCATACATGTATTTATTTCATACAAGCATTTTGGATACTTTTTTAAACTTCAAACTATTTTTTTTCATCAGACATATAGCTTTATACACTTAAAATTTTAGAAGAAAGGTCATTTTATCTGATCAAACATTATATTCTTATTGAAACACAATTGTTACATAAATAATTTATTGCAAATGTGTACAGGCTAAAAATAGAATTTACACTTTTGTTATGATTCAGTATTTGGTGGTGTGATACACTTGATGAGTCACAAAGTAGATAACACAGCTTTATGAATTTACCGGTGCACCACCTTGCACGGTCCAAAAACAAAATTAGAAATGTTATGTTAGAAACAACTTTAAAATATCGATGACCCAGGCATAAAATTTCTATATAAGGGACGCAAACTATCACAGGTAACTTTATTATCTTTTCCTTGATTAATCAATAAAATACCAGGTGAAGATCGTTAATTTCCCCAGGAGTAAACAATCTTACATTATGACGGAAACTGATGTCTCAAGGTGAGTAAAACGCTGCAAAAAGACATCTGTTGATTTTCCTGTTGACAAACATATAGCTTAGTTGTATTTAACATGTTGTGTTTTAAAATTTATCCAGATATCTATTCAATAAACCGTAATTCGTTCAGTAAAACTGGACAAGGTGCTAAGAATCACAAATTCATTTCGGTTTCTTAAGCTTGACATTCTATCAATTATAATTGAAAAATATAAGCAAATGATTAAGAAATAACGGCAAATATACGCCTCTTTACAATAAATAAACACAAGGAATGCAACCCCTTTTGACACTTGTTTGTTTATTTGTATCATAGTTCGGGGACCTTTCTGTTGAAAATGTGTCAGAGTTTAATCGTATACATATACATGCACAGTGCCGTAACTGGAGTGCAGGTATTAGTTACTACTCAAGAGCATGCCCATTGATTGGCTCATTTTTGCCGGGGTTTACTTATTGTGACGGCAGAGAAAGGGAAAGCGACAGAAATATCAAATTGGTTCCTTTTTTCTGGGGTTTCATATTGTGACAACAGGGAATGTGTTTTTTAATGTTTGACTACGATCACGGATCCGTGCTACGATACAAAAGAGAAAGAACATCAAAACACTCGGCAATCTGATTAATACTCGGGGGCTACGCCCCTCGTACAAATCAGATAGCCTCGTGTTTCGTTGCTCTTTCTATTACTTATTGTATAGAAGTGTATATATGCTGTAATTTCTTCATAAATTATTTGCTTATATGTTTCAATTCACCGATTGACAGTTTACAAGCTAGCAGACAGCAGGCTAATCTTATCAGTAGAATTGCAGTAAAGATAACCGGATGCGAGTAAAGATAACTGGTTGCGTGTCTTGCTGTATTAAACGTATGTAAAATGGTCTGACATGTGATAGATTTAACTGTAAATTTAAATACATTTAATGTCAAACAATGTGTTGAAGTATATACTGAGATGAAGTTAAGACCAAAAGCTTTTCATTTGTGTAATAAATTTTAAAATCAGACATTATTCGCCCTAAACTTGTGGTTTAAAAACAGCTAAATTTGCATTGTTCTAGCAGTAGAGTTATCAATTTTACTTGAAGATAAGGGAAACAACTCATATTTTTTCACTCTATATACCTAGGTTATTTTTGAAGTTCATAAAGAGACTGACAATGGGTGTATTATATACTATTAATGATAGGATGTCAAGCTCCTGTGCTTTAGTGTATAAGTTTTACTTCTAAAATAATATACATAGAAGTTCATTCCAGGAGATAGCCAAAAGTTTAAGAAAGTGTTAATACGTTTATTAATAAATACACATTGTGAATTTCCACAAACATGTCCAAGAAAGTGTGGATAATTTTTATTAATTTACACAACATTAATAATATGTTGATTTGTCATTATGTAAATTCACATACATGATCCGATCAAGTTGGAGAATAGTCTCAATATTTCGACTGCAAGACTGACAGATTTTACAAACTAATATAACATAGATGTCATCTATACGTTTATGCAAAGGGCGACCACAGTCTCTATAATAAAAACTTACAGCCCTGGTGCAAAATTTATTGGGCTAGTTGGAGAAAACATATTGAACATTCCAATGGTAAGGTTGCAAATACAGAACTTTAAGCTAGAAGTCTAGTATGTTGTTATTATGTCAAACACATTTATGCATAGTCTTTTTTGAATCCATCTTGAAATGACAGAACTGTTAACTGACCATGACAATAAAATTAATGTGAACTGAGAATACAAAAGCACAACTATTTCCGGTGGCTTTCACTTTTCTCCCCTACTCCCATCTTTTCTGAAATTCATCCTGTCTAATGGGTACACAAAACGATTCTCCTATTAACACTGTGAAATTGGACACAAGCTATATAAAATCACTGCCCTGGCACAGTTGCATGCCAAGAAAAATATGCAGTCTGACAGAGACCCAATCTGAGACAGGTGGAATATCATAGACTGTCCAAGCTGCTCAGTCGCTTACATATTTTTTGTCACCAAATTAAAATACTGTGATCTTGCTGTGACACAAATTTTTATTTTTAATTTAAAATGACCAATCATTAAACATTTAAAATAACTAGTAACAGTTTTCATAATTATATTCAGTAAGATATTTGTTTAGCAACAGAAGTTTACTTTAAAACAAACCTTTAATATGACTAGCCTAAATAGTGTACCTATGCCAGCCATAAATTAAAATTTACTTTGAATTACTGAAAGGCACATTATGCCGCAGAAATCCATATCTTTTAATTCTTTCGAAATCTCAGGATTGTTTAGTAAGGTTTTCAATTTTAAATAACAGATAATGAGATTTAAAGAAAAAAGAGCTGCACAAGCAGTAATGTGTCATAAATAAAGCAAAATGTAAATAAAGTAGTATTTTGACTTTCATACAAAATACAAAAATGTACTTATTCACTATTAATTGCCAACAAAGCAAATATAGGTCATGAATATGGCTGGAAACTGTAACAAGGTACCAAAAACAAAAAAGTTTTTGAGAGAAAAAAATAATACTACAGTATTTTGAGAGGTATATTTAGAATACCTGTGGGAACATGCACAAGTAAATTAATGTCATGTATATCTGTTTTTGTTACAGCAAAAGTATGGTTCGTGACAGGTTAGCAGAGATGCAGGCCAAGAGTGCGGAGGTGGGGGAGAGTAAACACAAGAAGAATGATAGTAATGGTACACCATTACTAAACTCAGAACAACAGCTGGAAGAATGCTTAAAATGGGTTACAAGTGTCGATAATAAGGTAAAGACTATGAAAGAAGAAATTGAACAAATGCAAAAGTTACAGAAGAATATAATCTCTAATCCTCTAGTTGATGTGAAAGAAGTAAAGAAACTTGAACAGACTTCTGATAAAGTGTTCAATGAATCATCCAAACTTCAAAAAGAAATATCTGCATATAGATCTGAATTTGCAAACATGCATTTGGATGGTACACATGAGAGAATGATTAAGACACATATAGATAGGCTAGGGAGTGATGTCACAAAGACCATGCATGATTTTAGGGCGGCACAGTTGGAATACATACAAAAGACTCAAAAACTTCACAATAGAAAGTATGAAATTGTCACCGGGAACGAGGCAGGTAGCAGTGCTGATGTTGATCCTAGTGATATACAAGCTGTTTTTGCTGGTGATTACTTTGCAGAAGCACAGAAAGCAAAGATGGAGCTGCGAGAAATAGAAGCTAGAGATGCTGAAATTAAGAAAATTGAGAATAGTGTTGTGCAAGTGAATCAGTTATTTAAAGAAATAAATGCTCTTGTTATGGAACAAGGTGAGAAGATAGATAACATTGAGAAACATGTTAATGCTGCATCAGTGGATGTAGAATCTGGAAATGTACAACTAAAACAAGCCAGAGAACATCAGTCAAAGGCAAGGAAAAAGAAAATATGTTGTATTGGTATTCTGGTGGCTGTTCTTCTCATTGCTGGGGTTATCATTACTATAGTGATTGTATCTCAGAATAGTAACAATTAAGGAATGAAAAGAGCAACTTTGTTATATGTTTTATACCATCATGAATCAATTAATTTATACAATTCATAGGCATTTTAAATAACAGTATTTTCCCTATTTAACAGCCCTTTGAAGAAAAAGAAAAAACTAAAACATAGTATTGTTTGGTTTTATTAACCTGTCAATTACATACTGATAACACGGTTGATGCACACAGTATATTAATCTTCGGTAGATTTTTCGGTAAGTTCCGTGAGATGTACGCTGTGCGATGGAATTTAATTTAATTTGTATCTATAAACAAAGTGCACTCAGCGGTATAGCGCAATAGGGTAAGGCACGAGTTTATAATCTAACTGCCACACGTGTTTTTAAGTTCGAGACCGCGTTGGTCCATGTTTTTTTTTCCTTATTAATACTTTCAACATTATTGAAGCTATATATGATTATTTTATATTGTTTGTTTTGTTTTATTATGTTTTACTTAATTTTGTTATGTCTTTACTCATTTAAATGACATGTTTAAGAATTCATGTTAAAAAATTAAAACGGATTAAAACCAATAAATGTATTTTCAATGCCGTAAAACACACTACAAATAAAATTATGTTCCTTTAAAATATACTGCAAAAATAAAGAAAGAGTATTAGTGGCAACAGTAAGGATCGAACCACAGACCTCTCAATTATCAGGCATTCTCTTTACCGTCTGTGCTATCGTGAATTAACGAAAACCTTCACATTAAACTGGTGTGACTTTCAATCCATGACTTATATACTCCACATTAATTCTCGTAAACTACACGGACCAAACCGAAGTGGGATCGAATATTTAAATGAGTCCTGTAATGTATTCATAATTGACAGGTCAATAAAATCAGACTATAACTGTGAGACTGACCCTATTTTAACAACTAAATTTAATTGTGATATGATATAAATGAATATTCAATCAGATATATCATATAGTAAAATGATATATAATAGAATTTTTAAATCTTTAAGTAAACCCACCAATCTAAATGTCAACAAATGAATTCATTATAAACAGTTACATGTTTTTGTCATTTAAAGCCTTGAGGGCATGTCAAGCAATAATAGTTTTATGCTTGCAATATTAATTCGTTTTCAGCAACATTATCAGCTGTCAATGGGGAAAATGTGTTAAATAAGGGAAATACTTCAAGCTTTTAATATAATGGTCATAAAACAGTGTGTATGAATATATGTGTAATATAATATTGTGAAAATATCAAGAACAAGTGCTGAACATGGGCATAATATCTCAATTTCACTCTTGTGAAAACATTTATTTCATTCACTGCCAGGTAAACATTAACACTATATATACAATATTATAAGGGTATATTAACTTAAGCAACATGTACACAACTTATCATAATTTTTATTTACCTTTTCTGTACTATTACTTTTATTCAATATTTTAATGAATGAAAATTCAAATTACACAAAATGTAAGTCGACAATCTTTTAATTTTGAGTTCAACATTTGGCTGCTAAATGTTGGCATTTTGACATAAAAAGGCCCATCAAATTAATAATGTACAGTAACAAACTTTAAAAGTAGGACACATCTATCATACATATTTATAATGCTAAATGGTCAAATTCACATAGATCACAAATAGCGTCAGGATTAACTGGAATAAATGTATATACAATTAAAATGAATTTACATTACATTTCCTTATAAATTTTGCATATAAAGTTTTTGTAATGTGAGTTAATTGAGATGTAAATTTATTTTGTAGACAAGTGTTTTAGTATGTAACATATTAATGCAGATTAGTCAATCTGTTGTTAGGGCTCTGAAAGTGTTAGAAATGTTTCTATGATTTTTGTTGTTATGTTTTTTGTCAAGTGACCTCGAGGTACAATCTTAAATACATTCATTTACATTCTGCTGAAATACAAGTTAAATTGTGACTTGATTTAACAGGCAAACATGCTCTTATTTTAAGAAATTAAGCGCCTCTTTAAATGATATCTAGCTTTGTTCACTCTGTGCATGCTTTTACTTAGAACAAGGATTTGAACTGTCAATGGCTTAAATTCAATGTAGATACAAATGCAACATGCCAACAACAATTGTACATTTCAAGGAATTTCACAGGAATCAGGTGTGGCCCAAAGAGAGGAGAACCAAAGAATAATCTTATACTATTGATTATACTTCTTGTATTTTTGGAAAAAGTAATGTAGCAATCAGCACAATGAAGTTGTTGTTTAGAAATAGCTGGTTGATGTCAATATACATGAAATTTCTCACTAAAGCCACAAGTTCTACAGATAATACCCAGGCTAGTCAAGATAAATGCCCCCTTGATACCCCATTAGCATCTTGCATAACTTTGAATATAACTGGATATCAAAGACAAGTCAAGAATTAGTATTAATTGCATTCTGGTTATCCACAATTTTAATGAGATAACGAACAGGGTATAAGTATTGTTATTTGATGGAATCATAGTTGAATTATATATAGCATAGTGTATTGGTCATACTTCATTCTATGTGTCTCTGATTATACATGTATGCTACATATAATGTATGTTTGTTAAATGTTACATAAGAATTTTTTAAAATAGGGTATTGTACGTCAGTGTAGCTCCTTTAAAAATTGTTTACAGTCAAGAGATTGACTTAAGCTAAGGCATTATTTTAGAATGTTGTTATTTTAATTACTCTTCACTCAATGTATGTACATCATCAAGGATTTGTAAGCTTGCTAGTCACTCAATTAATGTACTTTATGCTCACTAGAGCAGGTTGTGCTCATGTGGGCTTTTAAGATAGATGACTTCCATTATTCATCAATCTGCCATTTTCTGCCTGCATGATAGGAATTTTTATTTGTTTCAATTAAATTTGCACAGGATTAGTATCTTAAATAGTTCTTGGTTCCTAGTTTTTTTTTCGTCAAAGGAACCTTATCCTGTATTTGTTTTCCTATATAGATTTTTTGGTATCTTGGCAAAAGGCCAAATTAGGCATATTTTTATTTGAAAGGTGACAATTTCAGTACTTTAATTTTAATAAGTCTTCTATAGATCATGATTTCTGAATAAATTCTTAAACCTGTCTGATTCCACCATGAGTAACTGCCCTTGAAAGGTTGGAAAAAAGGCATATTTTATATTTTGTCCATGTACTTACTGTTTTATTTGTGGTTTCAATTTCAACTAAAATATTTTGACTAACACATCTTGGATATTTCATTGATCATGCAAATCTATGGGTTGGCTCTAAAGTTATTGCCGATTTAAAGACCAAAATAGGCATATATAGCCAAGCAGAGTTAAAAATTGCATTTTTTTACTCACTCACTTTACAAGTTTAATCAGGTGAGCTCAGGACCCTATTGTATAACAATTTAGTTTATATATAAGGGAATATGGTGGCCATCTGCTTCTCAGTTGATAAGTCAGATAAGGCTTACCATAAATCAAGGATATGCTTTTCAAACCAATACCATTTTGGAAACAGAATCCAGTTTGAATTTTATCAATTGTAATCAAAAACATCATAATATAGTGCCATGTACACGCAACATTCCAGATACTAACTTTGTCTCCTTTATGTACCTCATTTAGTGTGGAGATTAATTTGGTTGAGGAAAACTTTTGACTATATTCCAAATATTCAGATATTAAAGTTTATTTATATATTATATATATTTTATTTGTTGCTTGCTCAGCTAAGTGTACTTGCACTCCATACATTCCACTTATTGAAGGTTAAAAGTCAGTGTTGTCAATATGTACGTAATTTGAAGTTGATCAAATCTTTGTACACATCTTGTTTGCAATATATTTTGTAATAAAGTTCTTATACTGTCAACTTATACCTTTTTATTTCACAACCTTACAAAATGATTATGTGTGTCATAAGGACTGAAAACCAGGACCATAACATCTCTATTCTGTTGTGTACTCAGGGGTTGAAAATTACTTTGTAGTATAATTGTATAAATGTGTAAAGTTATCAACTATATGTGTTATCAACCAATAAGAAGTCGCTATTTGTAGCCTGATAACATCACTTGGATATTAATCCCCTTCCGCGTAGCAGACAGGGGATTATAGGAATAGCCTTCGTCTGTCCGTCCATAACACTGTCGTTGCCGCTCCATAACTCTTTAAACCGCTGAAAATTTTTTTAATAACTTGGCACAAGTGATCACCATTATGAGACAATGTGCAGAGCGCAATAATTGGGTTGCTATCTCAAAGGTCAAGGTCACACTTGAAGGTCAGTGTTAAAAGGTTTACAATTCGTGTCCACTACATAACTTTTAAACCGCTGAAAAGTTTTTTTAGATAACTTTGCACGAGTGATCACCATTATGAGACAATGTGCACCTGTGGACAGGGTCACACAGGTCAAATGTAAGAAAGTCTACATTTCGTGTCTGTCCACAACATTTAAACCGCTGCAATGTTTTTAAGATAACTTGGCAGAAATGATCACCATTATGACGCCATTGGCAGAGCACAATAATCAAGTTACAACCCTGAAGGTCGGGGTCACACTCAAAGGTCCATTGAAAAAACATCTTTTTTTCATGTCCGCTCTATAACTTATTGACATTCAAAGGTTTTAAAATTACTTGATCACCACCATGACACAATCTGCAGAGGTCAACATCCAGGTTACTACCCCCAAGGTTAAGGTTATATGTTCTCCATACCTTTTTTTACTTTATGGAATATTTTAAATAACATGGCACAAAAAATCACCATCATGAGACTATGTGCTTATGATATGCATGGCATAACATCAAGGTCGTGGCTGGTAAAAGGTCAAGAATTACACATTAAATGTTCACTGCGGAAGGGGATTTAGCTGTCCTTCAGACTGCCTTGTCTAAATTGAAACACATTCAGATTTCTCCCACCACCATTATTATATACTGCCAATAAGAATTTAAGTTTTACCCAAGGTAGTGCCAATAAAACTAGCAGTCAAAAAAACCTGAAGACCAGTGTAGCTGACATGTATTTATTTTCAGAAATTCACTGATTTGTTTTCTAAAAATATCAGTCAATGCTTTAAATTTTTTTTCTCTCCTATTCATTTACTGTCACCAATCAATGCTCATATTTTGACACACCTGACAAGTTAGTTGTTATTTGGTGTAGTGCATGATATAGCAGTTGCCAAAGTTCAGGGGCAACCCTGGTTCTTAAACATGCCTGTTGCAGAGCACCGATTAAATTGGACCTCGGTTTTTAAAAGCCTCATCCAAAGCACCATTAGTACTGTTAGTGGAGGGTTGGGGATTTAATCTGCAATCCCTGTATTAACTAAACACCAACCTCTCTAGGTTCACTGACAATATCAACGCCACCTTCTGGATTGTACTTGATTGGTGCTCCACCTTGATGAATCAATGTTCCATACCCAGTAGGTGTGAAGAATGCTGGGATACCTGCTCCACCAGCCCGAATCCTTTCTGCCAGTGTACCCTAAAACATAGATTAGAACCCTGAAACAAACTTGTATACCCTGATACATGCATATAATCCCTGATATATACATTTAAACCTGTATACATACTTATAAACTCTGAAACATAGCAAATTTATAAAACTCTTTGAAGATTGCAAGTTGAAGAATAGATATGATGTCTAAGTTTTAGAAAAAGTGATGTACTAATTAAGTATTTAATGTTTCAAAACAATTAGGGATTAAACGATGATCGAGTATAATCGAAAATTGATCGTTTATAGAACCGATCAGAGATGATCAATTACAAAGTTTAATAATCGATTATCGGTAATTTATTTTCTTGCTGTTACTTAAGTGACTCACTGTAATATTATAAGTCTGTATTATAACAACACTAAACTAAAGCCAGTGTTTGTTGAAAAAATAATTTTCATTGAATATGAAAGTATACTGGTGACCATGGAGTCAATAGTTGACAGTGAGGCATGCTTGTTTAAAGGTATATTATGCTCATGCAAATTTGACATGAGAAAATATTTAAAATTGCTACACAGTCTATTTGTAAATATAAAATAAATATGTTTTGACTTCACACAAAGAAGATATGTTATGTATAAAATTATTCTACACACTAAAGGTGGTTGCAATATCAATATATAGTGTCATTAAAAAAAACTGGCAGTGTTGTTAAGAAAGGACCAACTTAACTTGTTCCCATACATAGTTTATTCATTGCTTTTTTGGAAGTTTGACATAATAATTTCATAGATTTTAATGAATTTATTTGATAAAAATATTTTACTCAAGGATGAGCATAGTATATCTTTAAACTAATTTATTTCAGTTGATAAAGTGGTGGTTACATGGAAATGGAATTCTTATAAATATTAAAGCATGATATGAACATTGTACATATTTACTTTGTTATTGTAAATGTTTCGATTATATAATCGATGATTGAACGAAAAGGGTTGTTCGATTATTTTCAATGATCGATTATGATTTTTGTCCGATTAAGAAACCCTAAAAACAATAGATTTTTTTTTAATTTATAGCTTGAATTTGACAAGATGCTCGACTATTCTCAGAGCTTTATAGTAAAACAAGATCCAAGTTAATGTAAAATTTAATAAGTTCAAAAAATGCCATGTTTCTGTCAAAATCCAAATAGAGCTATGGGTATTGAGAAGTGACCTCCTGTTATGCTCTCTTTGGTGATGCCAACTTGCACACAAAAACTTAATCAAAGTGTGATGCCAATGCCTGGATGAGTACACTACCTCTCTCTACTTTTTCAATGGTCGAGCTAATGAAAGGGTTATTGAAGTAGTATCTTCATCTATTACTTGTTTTTGACTCCCATGGAGGTTACTGCACCTCGTTTGATCCTACCCTAGTAAAATCCACACAAGTCAAAAACAAGTTCCTGATCAAGATTATTCTATGATGACCGGATAAAATTTCAAAAACCCAAAAACATATTATTAATGCTTTTACATGCATATAAACTTTTATTACACACATGATTTTATGACCCTGAAAATATTAATAAATTTTGAAGTGTTTTGAATATATCTTTCTAAACTAAGACAATATAGGAATTTTCCTTGAGGAAAGCCACCTTTTATTATCCTTGTATTAGATTATAACTATACATAGTGAAAAAATGTGAAACACTTCTTCATAAATATCAGACAGGAACTATTTTGTAAATTAGTGAAATATGAAAATTTATGAAAAACAAAAATATTTAGATAGTTTTGTAAGTTTTATATGAGCTGTTAGATAGTTGTTATCATATGACAAAATAGTGAAAATACTAAAACCAATTTCATTCTCAAAGATTTTACCTGTGGTGTAAGTTCAACTTCAAGTTCTCCACTGAGATACTGCCGTTCAAATTCTGCATTTTCTCCAACGTAAGATGATATCATACGCTTAATCTAAAATTATCAATCATAATTTTATTATAGAATAAACAAAAGACTAAACGGTAAACGATTTTTCTTTTAAGTTTTAATTCTTCTATTGACCCTTGTTCCTACCATAAAGAAGGAAGCAATAGGCCTTTCTCAAATTATATGCATACTTTACATTCCATCACCAGAGAGAGGCTAACAGGGCATGAATGTAAACAAGTAATGTCTGACCTGATAAGCCCAAGTGTGTTAAACTTACCGGGGAAAATATAATTTTTATTGTTGTGTTCCACTCTGTTATTCCAAATCTAAATATGATTATACAGTTAATTTTCATAAAATACGTAAGGATGTGAGTTAAATAAAGGAAGGGATTGTGGAAATAAGATGAGATGAACGAGAACATTTCGAGGTAAAATTTCATTTTTCTTTTCTTTTTTAAACTAAGCTACTTTAGATGTATTACTACTTACATTAATTAATCTGATTTCTCATTGTTTTAAATGTTTCATTTAATTATTAACATAATAAAATGTTTTGTTCATTAATTTCATTTAAATATCACACTTATGATTAATCTAAATCAATACCGTTTTTATACTAAACAAGAGCTGTCGGTAGGACAGCAACGCTCGACTATTCTTAGTGCTTGATAGTAAAAAAAATGCCTGATACAGTTACCTCCTCCTGTTTACAGGTTGGGGTCATGATGGTGAACAAGTGTGCAAAGTTTCAAAGCCATATGTCAATGGACTTTGAAAATATTTGAACTATTACAAAAACTTTAACGTAAATTCTAAGTCGAAAAAGGGGCATAATTCTGTCAAAATGCTGAATAGAGTTACCTGCTCCTGTCTACAGGTTAGGGTCATGATGGTGAAACAAGTGTGCAAAGTTTCAAAGCCATATGTCAATGGACTTTGAAAATATTTGAACTATTACAAAAACTTTAACGTAAATTCTAAGTCGAAAAAGGGGCATAATTCTGTCAAAATGCTTGATAGAGTTACCTCCTCCTGTCTACAGGTTGGGGTCATGATGGTGAACAAGTGTGCAAAGTTTCAAAGCCATATGTCAATGGACTTTGAAAATATTTGAACTATTACAAAAACTTTAACGTAAATTCTAAGTCGAACAAGAGCTGTCGGTAGGACAGCATGCTCGACTATTCTTAGTGCTTGATAGTAAAAAAAATGCCTGATACAGTTACCTCCTCCTGTTTACAGGTTGGGGTCATGATGGTGAACAAGTGTGCAAAGTTTCAAAGCCATATGTCAATGGACTTTGAAAATATTTGAATTATTACAAAAACTTTAACGGAAATTCTAAGTCGAAAAAGGGGCATAATTCTGTCAAAATTCTTGATAGAGTTACCTCCTCCTGTTTACAGGTTGGGGTCATGATGGTGAACAAGTGTGCAAAGTTTCAAAGCCATATGTCAATGGACTTTGAAAATATTTGAACTATTACAAAAACTTTAACGTAAATTCTAAGTCGAAAAAGGGGCATAATTCTGTCAAAATACTTGATAGAGTTACCTCCTCCTGTCTACAGGTTGGGGTCATGATGGTGAACAAGTGTGCAAAGTTTCAAAGCCATATGTCAATGGACTTTGAAAATATTTGAACTATTACAAAAACTTTAACGTAAATTCTAAGTCGAAAAAGGGGCATAATTCTGTCAAAATGCTTGATAGAGTTACCTCCTCCTGTCTACAGGTTGGGGTCATGATGGTGAACAAGTGTGCAAAGTTTCAAAGCCATATGTCAATGGACTTTGAAAATATTTGAACTATTACAAAAACTTTAACATAAGTGGTTACGCCGACGCCGACGCCGACGCTTGGGTGACTGCAATAGCTCTACTTATTCTTATCGAATAGTCGAGCTAAAAAGGGGCATAATTCTGTCAAAATGCTTGATAGAGTTACCTCCTCCTGTCTACAGGTTGGGGTCATGATGTTGAACAAGTGTGCAAAGTTTCAAAGCCATATGTCAATGGACTTTGAAAATATTTGAACTATTACAAAAACTTTAACATAAGTGGTTACGCCGACGCGGACGCTCGGGTGACTGCAATAGCTCTACTTATTCTTATCGAATAGTCGAGCTAAAAACAATAACAGTTATTTTGTTTACCATTTCAGATCAATATATGACAAGACAATATAGCTTGTTTTGAAGCATTTCACACAATAAGATTAACAATCATGGACACACATTCATATATGTCTGAAGAGAATAGATGTACCCTCTTGGTTCAAATGGAGAAGTAATGAACAGACCAGTAAGATGGACACTAAAGAAGATTTTTGCCAGATGAAAGGTAGATCACAAGACTTAATTTTCATTTTTACACATAAATAAATTTCAGCTACAGTAAAAAATACTATAAATGCAATTACAATATAAATTGATATATTCTAGAAATGTCATAATTCTTGTTACCACTTCATAATAAAATGGATATATATTTTTCAGGAATTCAATTGGTAACAGTAATGAACACAAATTGACAACTGGTATTTGAATCGCCTTAAGTTGTAATATCTCTTCATGGCAGTTGCAGAACAGATGAAAATAAAAATACTATCAAACAGTTCAAAGAAGAATTACAGAAAACTGTGGAAGAAAATAAAATGTTATATTGAACTTTTGATACAAACAAATTTTTAAATGATAACAGTTGCATATCTTGTTTATTTTGGATTTTCAACATATGTATATTCATTACAGTTTTTAATGTTTAAAACATCAGCAAAACATTAAGAGCTTTTATTATGAAGCAAGCAAAACAAACAGCTTGACTGATAGAAAGAGATAGATGTTGCAAGCTGACAAAATGTATTTTTAGCATATTTTAAAGGACCATTTGTTTAGTCCTTTGTGTCTTAATTCAAATAAAATAATTAAAAAGAAATCATCGCATTACTTTGTTTTTAACATTACTTTGTTTTTAACATTATGCTTTGTTACATATATGGTACAGCTGCAGGGAATATGTCAACATGGTAATAACATTTAATATTTTGTCCTCTTATTGCATTATATACTGTTGAGTGAATATTTCTTGGAATGCTCAAAGAAGTGCTGAAGCTAGATGCTGTCTTTCCTAATACCCTCCGACTTCAAGGTCCTGCACATGTATTCTGCAAATGTTTAGTCCCCTAAGTAAATGGAATGTCCGGGGTTGTTAAGTCCAGGCAACATCTTCTGGAAGTGCTGTGTACCCCAATGATTTGTTATATATCAGCTAGTACAGGGTTCAACAATATGACCACATTATCAAGTCGGACCAACTGGACAAGTGCAATAAGCTAATGATACCTCAGATTTGACTGATATTTGCAATTAAATGATTGTAATTTGTTAAATACTAAGTATTTAATACTGTAATTAGTTAAAACAGTTGATAATATATAAGTTTTACATCCATTACTTAGCATGAAATGTATGTTTCCAATGCTGTAAACAACATCATGTGTTAAGATACTGAAAATCCATTGAAATGTATAAGACGGGGATGTGGTGTCATGTCTAAACAAAATTGTTATTTTGATTTGGTAAGGTTCTCTGTAAAGTTAACCAGTTACTAGACAGTCATCAAGAATTTTTGATTTTCAAATACAAAATGAATAAAACTTATTGTTTTTTTTATTTCAATGGCTAAATTTAGGGGAAGTATGGTACAGAATTCAGCATCCAACTGTTTACATCTATTATCAGTTAATTGCCTTATACATTCTTGACCAACATGTGTTTAGGTAAGCAATAAAATACTGATAACACAGATAATGTCTGTATAAGTTGCAAAGAGTTAACCTGATATTTATACTTGTCACGGAATATTAGGAATTAATTGGAATTATCATAAACATTTATTCACTTTTCAGGTCTTAAATACATGTATATATCCTTCACTGTATATAGCGTAAAATAAACCATTTATCTCCAGAAGATATTTTTGTAATGTTAAATATAACATTCAACAAGTATGTAGTACTATTAGTACTATATCAAGATCTCTAAATCTTTTGGCCATATATTCATGATATGTTTACATAGAGCACACACCGGAGCTTGCCCTGTTAGCCTCGTTCTGAGAAATCTATGAATATGTATGAGGTAATATTAAGAAGGGTCTATTTCAAGTTACTCCACTCGAAGATTTTGACATGATGGGTCCATGCTGGGACTAGATTCTTTTTTTTAGACTTGTCTACTATTTGCTGTAGGTCTGGACCAACAGCTTGTGTGCCAAATTTCATATCATTTGTTCAATCTGTTTCTCCAGAATTATTATTAAATTGTGCTTAATGACCAAAAAATGTGTTTACACACTCTTGACTCAAATTGGTAAAAAAATCACACAAGATAATAGATTTTCAAGTTATATCTAGGTGTATTTCTATAATATCTTTCTCATATTTTTCTGTTTTATATGCCCTGATTGATCTTAGTTAATGTAAGAATTTCAAATTTTAAGTTTTTATTATGTTGAATAAAGCTCTTTTAAGTGCATAGTGTGTTTAGTTCCAGTCATTTTTTTAGCATTTTCAGTGTAAAATGTGTAACAGCAGTATAACAATTTTAAGACATTTTTTTTCTTTGATAAACATTTTAGTATTTGTTCTTAAAAAGGATGTAATTATTCATGATCATTTTTAGCTACATATAAACATTGCATTGTGTCCTGCTGTATTTTATTGTATAATCCATTATGAAACTTGCTGTCAACCTTCCAACAGTCAAAGGAAATCAATCATGCATAGGAGACAGACTGACAAAAAATATCTATGACCTGGTTTTGTTTAAGGAGGAGACCCAATCCAAAGTTGTCCACACCAGCATTGTTACTAACAACTGTTAAACCAGTCTGCCCTGTACTGAGCATAGCCCCAATTAGATTCTCTGGTATACCACATAGTCCAAAACCTGTAACATGATAAAAATGTGTTACTCATGGCACTTATAAAGATCATTTTCAAGAAGTCATGGAAATTGATTTTATTTCTCGTTTTGTATCATAGCAGAATGGGGTATCTGTGACTGACCAGTTTAAATTTTTGACTTCAAACTATCTCCCCCTTACTGCTGTGGGTTTGTCTTGGAATCCTGCAGTCACTATAAATTCTTTTATATGAGGAAGCTATCCATCCAGTTTACCAAACAAACATTGGTGGTTCTACACAGGTGCCCCCTTGTGCCTAAAATAATGCACAGAAGGGCATCTAAGGTTTTCCTCAACCAGTTAAGCTGGTCTGTCGACCTTTGAAATTGTCATGTGACGTTTACAGGGTCAGTGTAACATAAAACACTCCAAACAAAAATTATCATAGAATTAGAATAAACAATACAAGTAAACTGGTTCCTTCCTGTCATTACTGATCAAAGGTTCCAATATTTTTGTTATAAAAAGTATGAATTTGAGTTAATGACTTTAATGTTATTGGCAACACATACCTCCAACCAGTAGTTTACTATTACTTGGAATATCTTCAACAGCCTCTTTGGCATTCTTGTAGAATTTTGCTGAATCTTTTCTACATGTTGTACTAAAGGAGCAGCAAGGCTAAAATTTAAATCAATTAACATTTTATAGAAAATTAAGATCTTAACTTTTCATTTCATTGTTGTTGATTTATGATTATCACAATAATTATTTTTATTCTATTGAAACATCAAAATAATCAGTTCAGACATCAGAAACATATCAATTAAGCCATGCTACAAATAAATCTTTACTCTAATTATCCTGCCAATAATGTCAAACAGATCATAGGGACATAGACATGTTTGTACTTCACAATAGCAAGAGGGTTAAAAAGAGTATTGAAAGAAGTTAAAAGAAAAGGAAATGTTGAAATCATGGGGCTGGACAACTAGGATATGACAAGCTCAATGCTAGATGTGACAGAATTGAAGTAACTGCTCTAGGGTAGGGAGACAGACAACCATTAGGGGTAAGTGGTTCAAATGGAAGAGAATTTATAGTGATTCTCTTATTTTGGTGCTTACAATGTCTCTTTACTGAAAAATGAGAGAAAAAAATCAAATATATATATACAACTAGCATATGAGAAGCTCAATGCTAGATGCGACAGAATTGAATTAACCATTCTGGGATAGGGAGACGGACAACCATAGTGGGTAAGTGGTTCAAATGGAAGAGAATTTATATTGATCTGAAATTAATGTTAGTGATGGACCTATAACTAAGGGGAGTGGCGTGAAGTTTGAGAAACACAGGGGTCAAGTGTTATTTGATCGAGAGAGCAACCAGACTGTGGTAAATCCTACAGAGAAGAGAGATAAAATATCAAAATTATGCCAAAGATTTAGAGAGTGAATCATGTCAGTATTGCTTCAAGTCTGACCATAATCTGTCCTGTTTGGACATTTTAATTTGATCTATATATGTAACAGGGATCAAAAAACATGTTCAGAGGACAAGTTGCTTCAAACTTCTATTTGTCCTACATGCTATGCTACATGTACTTGTCCTGTATTTTGTGCGTGATTTTCAAGATAAACTTTGCTGTTGCAATAGACCGCTGGAATTCTCATTATTTGTTTGTTTACATTTAAAACAAATCAAAACCAGAAACAAAGCTTGTGTTTTAGGTTATGTATAAATCCATACTTTATATAGCAATGCCAGGCACATTCCAGTCAGGCCCGTATCCAATTTTAAAACAATGTGTGTTCAGAGCTTTAAAGTATTGGCAATTTACACACAACCTAAAACAGTAACACAAGCTGCCTTTCTGGTTTTCCAGCGTTAAATGTAAACAAACCGATGATGAGAATTCTAGCAGAAATGCATTGGCAAATTTCCACTCATACTATATAATTTTGTACTTGTCCAGTGTCTCAATCTCTACTCGTAAATGTGAGTGGGCGAGTGGAATTTTCGGTCCCTGAATGGTTAGTGTGGGGAGACAATAATTCAAAACCATATTCAAATTGCGTCCAAATGGGACTCAAGTTTTCTTATTCATTACAAATTAGGTATCACAAGGTATAAATTATAAATCAAACAATCCTCAACAGAGCAATGTCTTTACATGATATTTTAGTGGCACAATTGAGTTGACAAGTCTACACAATTGAAGCAATAAAAGCTATACAGTTCAGTTACTAAAATTAAAAGAAATCCCATTGTCTTAAATTGACTTAAAGAAACTTTATTAAGATTATGAAGGTGTAACATTTTCAAGCAATTTCATTGGCTAAAGACCAGTGATATGTGACCGACTTTCAAAGAATCTGTGTTTTCTCAAATATCTAACAATGTCTCGTTTAATTAACCGTCTATAATCATACTTACCGTATGATTGGTGACACATGCAAGAGCTGGAGGCAGATTCCTTATTGCAGGAGCAGAAAACAGTTTGAGAAATGTTGACATTGTGTTTTCTTTTCTGTCAGTTGAAAATAAATACTGCAAAGTCAATAAATACCACAAAGGAGATATAAAGAGCGAGAAGATTGCAATATTTTTTCGGGAAAAAAGTTTTTGACATTGTCAGTAAGAAGTAGATTATTTTAATTGAAAAATAAATATATACTTCTAATTAATCATTTTCCAGAGAGATTTTGTTTTCCTTTTTGTAGTTTTATCCCACCCAGTCACGGATCCATCGGGGATGGGTGGCGGGGAGAGTGGGTGAGGTGCTGGAGGGGGTTTAAGGAGCTGTTGTTTGGTTTCCTTCCTCCTACATTGCGATAATTAGTAGTTGCAAGTGCAGGTTATCCAGACTAAAGGGGATGAACCCCCAAGCTCCAGCCGTCCTAGCCTGTTGTTTTTTTCTTTCAAAAATTACTAACATTATACAATATCAGCAAAAACCTGGCATGATATAAAAAGAGGTCATTAACTATGTTAATTGAAACTCTGTCAGTCAGAACGTTGCATGCCTTGGGGCAAGTGTTATTGTATATCCTCGGGGTCAAGCTCTTTCAGTAGCTTACTCTCTGTTAGTGTATAGATGTCTGCATGATAGGCCTTCCGATATAGTAACCAAGTCTAAGTAAAGAACCTTAAACATTACATGTGTAGTAGTAAGAACTTAATACCAGAACATACCGTATGTTATTTCCCCTAAGATATAAGGGAATGGCATTTACCTATCTGTGAAAAAGTCTTGATTATGAAGCATTATTCATATAAGTATGAAATGAATGGTCCATAAAAGAGTCAATATTTAACACCATTGCAAGTCTAAAATTTATTTTGAAAATGAAGAGATGTTCCCTTGTTATAAAATGTGCACCTGAAAATGAACCAGAAGCCATCATTTAAAGGAAGGAAGATTTGCTTGTGTTAAAAACTGAAATTTAAAACAAAAGCCATCATTAGGTATTTAAATTTGAAATTTGTGAAAAAATGTTGACACTTGTATTTTAAAATGTGCATCTAAAATGCATCAGAAGCCAGCATTTGTCACGTGTCGTTTTATTTGTTTTGTTAATTGTTCATTTTGCCGTGCACTGTTCGTCATTTAGCCGCGGGAAAATTATCCTTAATGTCCGCACATGCGTCGACTGTCGTTAGTCTCTGTGGCGTATGTTATCCTCTCCTATTGTATCGGATGGTTCGTAATGTACGCTTATTAGCGGAAATTCACGGAAACGGCCGAAACAATTCAACTATGTCTGTATCTCGTGCAATTTTGTGAACTGTTTTTGTATGTCCAATCGTGTTGTACGTTGTATGAAAGAGATTTGAGAGAAAGTTTTTCATTGGTTTTTAACATTTCCTTTCTTCCAAATTCCTGCGAACTTTCCTTTTCCGCTTCACTTCGTCTTTATTCTCTTACGAGTTAAGATATACAATTCTACTTACATTAATTCTATAAGTTTATTTAATAGAATTTTTGATAGGAAATAACTTATTATTAAGTTATCTACTTTTTGTATTGAGACGCTGTGGAAAGATTATTTTCATTTCATTAATTTAATCGAAATTAATTCTTATAATATTTTGCATCGCTTAATTGTTGTATTTTATGTATGTTTTAATTAACTTGTATTATAAGCATGTATTTATGTTTTTAGGCTTTTTCTTCGTATATATTACAATTAAATTGACGAACCTACGCCAGGAGTTTGTAGTTATAATTCTACCCTGTGACACATTTAACATGAAGATTTCATTTTTTCCTGGGGGAGGACCACAGGTGTTACCATAATCTTCTCCTGCTTTTGCAGCACACATGTTAATAAGTCAAAGCGACCAGCTACACTGTTATTCTAAGAACTTTTTCAAAATTGGTGAGAAAATGTCTCTTTTTTACAGTGTAATAAGCTGGAATGATAGTAGATGAAAATGACACTTACACACTACATTTGTACATGTACTGTATGCTAAATATGAGTACAATATCTTCAGAACATTCTTTAACTTACTACTCTGGGTTTCATCCATTAGACCAGCTGCCTTTTTGGAAATGTGATTTTGAGAAGCTTAAACACCCTTTCCTCAATGACATGCAAAGAAGGCATGGCTGTTACAGGCGAAATGATAAGTTTGGGCATGGCTCATGTGGCTGAACCATTGTTACTTGACAGGTCAGAACATCAATCTTCTCCTTTGATGTAGATAATTACGCAAGATAAATTGTTCCGGGATGGGGGATCTCAAGAAGTGTAAATTAAAATTCCCTTTTAGTTCTGACAGTGACATGTTTGTTTTTCGATTTTCTTTATGTAATCCCAATTATACATGTCTCCATTTCGTTAATTCTTTTCTAATTTCGCACTTTACGCCGGTTACGGCAACAACAACCGGAAGTTTACAAAATAGTTGCATTCTTTTGAAACTACCTTGCTATCCTTTGCATTTTTAGATAAATTCTTAGTTATAATAAAAATAGTCACAGAATTTTACAATGTGAGTATATTTCATACAAAAATTTGTTTTTCAAGGGAAAGAATGAGGAAATTTGAAGCTGTTTTATTGCTATATCGGGTTTTTTAGTAAATTTTTACTCGTAAAACTGTCGTCAGATCATCATCATGCAGATTTATCGTCGGATACCTTAAAGGCTAAACTGCTAAATCGAAATTCGTCCCTGCCCTAGAATCAACACCATTACTGTGTATGTCTCAAAGTCACAACAAATGTGCGTTGAGAAAGAAAAAAGTTGTATAATTTTAAACACCAAAGTAAATTTATCTAGGAAGTGGTCACGTATGACATGTATGACTAGCAAAGACAGTGTGTATTCAGTTATTGGCTAGCCGTACGGCACTTTTCAAAATTATATGGAAGTCGAAAATGCATATGTTATTTTATGACTTTAAATGAGGATTTTAACCAAGAAACAGCAATTGTCTTCGTATGTTTTTAGAGATTAGTCACCTTGTTGCCTACTTTAATTTTTAAAGAAAGTATTCTCATGAATACCGATCTTTGTCATCTCAAGACGTCAAAAAAAAAGAGCATTTGGTTGCAGTTAAATAACATCAATTGAAATAGTTTACAAAATTTTGATAATAATTCTTTTTTGTTTCATTAAGTTTAATTTTCGACACCCTTATTAAAATGAATAAAAAAAACAACAACAAAAAAACAAACAAAAATAATTGTTGTTGGGCTCTGATAATTGCGTCAATTACAGACGGTACTGGTTTCCTAGCAGTTTCCTACCACAAATCGCACTTTTTAACAAATAAAATAAAAATCAGTCTACGGAGGGGTACAAAACTTTGACAGGACAAAGTTAGGTACCTGTCCAGCATTGCCATGTGCTTAATGTTGCACTTTCATATTACTTTTTAATTTGAATATAGGCCTGAAACATAACACCTTTTTTCACCTTTATTCAAAAATTCATAGCAGTTTTCCGGACCTGTTTTATTTTGAATATAATTCAGTACCATAAAGCAATGTTAAGATGGTTTTACAAGACAAATAGAACTTCCCAATCTTGTCCGTGTCGTCTGCAACAATATTTTCCGAAGTATTGATTTACCTAAAATGGGGTCTTAGTTATTGCGCATGGATACTCAAACCAGAATTCCCCAGGTGTTACTTATTTTTGAAAGTCGCAAGTTCTCTATGTAACTTTAAATACAAATGTAACAGACAAAACTTCAAAACATATAAATTGTTGTACTATTTTAAATGCTGTTTAGCATTGTAAACAAAAAGTCTCTCTGATTGACGAAGTAATGTGGATGCCTTACTGGTAAAAATAGACTGTACTGGGCGAAGATGATAAACGGCCGGAAAACACTGCTAGGGGACGGAAACTGCTAGGAAACCAGTATAGAAGTTTGTCCATCATTTAGAAAAGTTTGCATGTTTCGTGAAGCGCATTCTTAAATTCTATTGTCAATCCCTGGGTTAGGCTTTAATTAAGGCTAATTAATTGAATCAATTTGATTGTGCTTTTATGTCCGATATTTATCTTCTGTATTTGGAAATTGTACAATTATTTTTACTTTTCATTGTTTTCTTTTTTTAATTTTCTTTTTATTTATTCCACTCCGATCATTATTTATTCGATCCTTATGCTTAATTTTTTTTTTACAAAAAGGTGGAGCTTCATTCTTTATTATAGTGAACACACAAGGACAAATGCAGAGACATGATTATAATCCTCGTTTAAAGACACAAAATAACATATGCATTTTCGACTTCCATATAGTTTTGAAAAGTGCTGTACAGCTAGGCAACACAGTGTGTCCTGGCTAGTCGTACGTGACTCACGTACGGCTAGAACTTTTGGCTAGCCGTACGGACCTGTATACGGCTAGTCACTTCCATCTATCTAATGGATATGCCAAACTTTATTCAACTTAGAACGTTTGGATCATAATTAAATTAACAGGCTAAGCCTAACTGTGTAAAGTCGCTCACTTCAGAGATGAAATATGATTCTTCTTGTGCAGCAAATAAACCAGTTTGTTACCAGAAGCAGGATGAAGGGATAAAGAAGTGACGTCACTTGAGACTGGAACTCTGTAGTACTGCAGGTGGAGTGGTATCCAATTAAAACCCACAAATACTACATAATTAGCGCAACAAATTGTGTGCCAGGGTTTTTTATTTTACAAACAATGGCCACCCAGGGCTCTAGCAACTGGGCGACTTGGGCAATTAAGTTGCCTTTTAGTAAATGAACTCCAATTTTGAACATCAAAGCCAAATCAACTTTGCCACAGTTTTTTACTTCCTGCATAGACAGTTCTTTACTTCCTGCATACTAAGACAGTTCTTTAAAAATTAAATTACGTATCTTACAGCGCTTGACAATAAATTAAATCCTCTCCTCCGGACGTAAGTAAAAGGCGACTGCCGATAACTGACTGCAATTAACATGTTTGTTTGACATGATATGCATGATATTCCAAGGCTTTTCATAATTTTTTGTAAACCCTTTACCTAGTATGGAAGTGTTTTGACGGCTTTCCTCTCACCCCCCCCCCCCCTTTTTGAGCGTCAAACAGTGAAGATGCTCTATTTAGGCCCCAAACACTGTTTTCTGTTTGAGAAATGTTGATAAAATAATTATATGTGATCACTTTTTTGGCGCCGCCCCCTATCAAAAAGGTACATCAAGGGGTTGTCAAAAGAGGGATGTTTCAGGGGTTTGAAGGGGGGCAATAGCCCCCCCCCCTATCACCAAAAAAGTTTTGGACATGTGACAGGCTAAAAATGGCCTCAGGTTGATAGTTAGGTATCGTGTAACCATCGCTGTAAAGCCTTTTACTCTTTCTCAATCCATTGAGAAGTTGCAGCACTTTGAATCAGTTTTGATGGGAAAAAACAATGCAAAGTAGTGAATTTTCTCAATTTTGAGACTATGGTTCAGTCAACATTTGTGCCAAGTTTCATCAGTACTGAAGCATTTTTCATAGTTTCATAGTAGTTTTAACTTGTAACAGGAGGCTTTTCAATGAAAATGGCCATTTTTCACAATATGCTCATGTGGTAAAGGGTTAAACAATTTATTTGAATTATTTTTTAATACTTAAGTAATATCGGTTGAATAGAACATGCAAAAAATCACTGAAAAATAATTGATATTGATGTAGTTCTAGCTTTCAAAATTTTATAAGCCACTATTTAACATTTTTGTTTTTCATCTGATGCAACATTAGACCTGTTACGAAACCTAACCAGAATAACATAAAAACATACCACCTCAAATATTTTCAAAGTCCATTGACATATGGCTTTGAAACTTTGCACACTTGTTTACTATCATGCCCCCAACCTGTAGACAGAAGGAAGTAACTCTATCAAGCATTTTGACAGAATTAAGCCCCTTTTTATGCCCCCACAGAGTGGGAGCATATAGCGTTGCACTTGTCCGTCCGAGTGTCCGTCCGTACGTCTGTCCGTACGTCCCGAAATCTTGTGAACGCAACTCCTCTTAAACCGGATGGCAGATTTTGCTTAAACTTCCAGGGATGAACAACCTTAATGTGTAGATGGTAGTAAAGGAAGGAATTTTTGCTGCGACCAAATTTAACAGAATTATGGCCCTTTGTTGATTTTTTCACTATTTACTATGTAGAAATTTTGTGAACGCAACTCCTCTTAAACCGGATGGCAGATTTTGCTTAAACTTCCAGGGATGAACAACCTTAATGTGTAGATGCTAGTAAAGGAAGGAATTTTTAGCTGCGACCAAATTTAACAGAATTATGGCCCTTTTTTGATTATCACTATATACTATGTTGAAATTTTGTGAACGCAACTCCTCTTCAACCGGATGGCAGATTTTGCTTAAACTTCCAGGGATTAAAAACCTTTATGTGTAGATGGTAGTAAAGGAAGGAATTTTTGCTGCGACCAAATTTAACAGAATTGTGGCCCTTTGTTGATTTTTAGTTTTCAACTTGTGGCACATGTAGTCCAAAAAATATTTGACCTAGAGTCATAAGATTGACAGAATAGTGCAGGCGTGTGGGGGCATCCGTGTCCTATGGACACATTTCTAGTTTTTTGGCTTATTTTATAGCCGTTATTGGGTCATATTCCCTATTGAAAATAGTATATTATTTTCCCAATCCGCTTGAAAAAATTCCCAAACGAAAGTTACAAAATAAAAATATTGAATAAAAATTCTAAAATCTTTGAAAATAAGGGCTCCTTCACTGTAATAGTGCGTATATGTTTAAAGATGCCATCCTAGACAGTAATTATGCATCCATCTAATCAGTGTAAAATTTCAGTCATACATTTCTTCCCAATTTTAACAAAACACCGCTGAAATTCCCAATTCCATGGGTATGGGTCATGTTCCCAAAATCCTTAAAAAATCCCTGTAAAGTCAAATTTTTACTGTTTAAATAAATTCAGTGTACCAGATCAGACCTTGTTCCAAAGCTGCCCATTATTGTTGTATTGGAATACATGTATATGGTGAACATACAAGCCAACATGTACATTGTACTAAAATCATAATAATGATACTAAATTTGTTATGAAACAGACCTACTGAACTGTATAAGAAAGATACATAAAATGGCAAATGTAATCAAGTTTATTCCTTCTCAATCCTTCAAGGTTTGCTGACTAATGACTACATATTAAAAATATAATTTTATCTTGACTTACAGGAATATACCACCAGGTACAGCAGCAGGACGGCCAAAAACTGGTCAAAGGCCCATTGGAACAGGTAATATAATTATGTAACTTTATATTTCACTGTCTTACTGTTTTGATGATTCCCTATCATTTAAGGTATTTTTGGCTTATTTTACTCTGTCAAATGTTAAATATACAAAGAATAAACAGGAAAAAGGTTGGAATAAAGATCTTGTATATGTGGATAAAGTAAAACAAGTAATGTAAGGGAAATCTTATATATATAATAAACAATATGATAGACTTGCCGATTTTTATGAACTTGATTAAATCAAGCTGGATCAAAAGAATATTTGATGAAAATAACCATGGTTTGTGGAAAGAGATAATAAAGAAAAATTTACAAAAAATAGGTGGAATCGACATATTTAAAAGTAATTTAAACACATATGATATACAGAAACTTAAAATCGAAAATTATAACTTTCTTAAAAGAATTACTACTGTCATGGAGTAAAATAAATTTTAAAAAAATCCACAAAATCTATTAGACCAAATAAATTGAAATAATATGGCAGAATTCACACATAAAAAATAATGGATCTTTAATTCTTTTTCCAAAATGGAAATGTCGAAATATCAATAAAATAAAGGATATTTTTAACACTGAAACAAAACAATTTAAAACCAGCTGAAACTTACTTTTGACATTCCTGATACAGAAATATTTAACTTTTATAAATTTATTTCATCAATACCCAAAGAATGGAAACGTAAACTACAACAAATTAATCAAACTTCAACGCCTAAAGAAATAAGCACTTTTGATATCATAGAAAAAACAAACACGTCCAATATTAGTAACAAGTTAACACATATTCAAAAACAAATAAGACTCTGTAAAAATAAAAAAAACAAAATCGCAAATAAAATGGGAAGAACGATTTCCTCAAAAAGAATTTCAATGGCAAAATATTTACGAAAACGTTTTTGTTTATTGCAAAGATAACATTTTGCAAAACTTTCAATATAATTTTTTACACAGGAATATTGCAACAAACAAATTTCTCCTTCAATGTAAATTAACCAAATCTAGTCTCTGTGATTTTTGCTGTATGGATGTTGAAAGTATAGAACACCTATTTTGGGACTGCCAAACAGTACAGATATTCTGGAATAATTTATTCAAATGGCTTAATGAAATAGCAATAAATGTTACGTATGATAATTTTACATCTTTCTTTCATGCTAAAGATAAGAAAACATCGTATATTTTTCTCTTTTCAAAATATTACATTTATACCAGTAAATTAAAAAAACAAACTCCAGATATAAGTATCTTCAAAAGAAAATTTTTAAACAGATAAAAAATTGAAAGATTTGTTGCGTTACAAAATGATACATTAGAAGAATTTGAAAATTGCTGGATAAATCTAATTGACTTGTTTGATTTCTAAATAGTACATGCAGAAAAAATGCTACTAAAGCAGTTTATTTACTTTTTACTTTTTATTTACCTTTCAACCTTTTGCCCCTTTTCTTGTGTAATTGTATAAATGAATGTACCTCTTAACTTTTTAAAATGTCTTATATATTCTAACTAAAAACATAACAAAATAAATTTATTTTTAATTATCTACATATCAATAAAAATACTAAAGTTATCTTGTATTGTATTATTTTTTCTTAAATAAACGGGCCTTTAACGTGGTTCCAAAAAAAAAAAAAAATAAATAAATAAATAAAAAAAAAATAAACAATAGGAGCACTGCTTTATTTTTGTCCTTAGAAAAAGCAACTTTAAAATTCCTAACTGCACAAAAATGTCTTGTGTCACAAGTTGCCCAGTAATCAGGTGTTGTGAATTCAAATTCCTGCCGCCCCACTCAACTCATCCCACTCACCATTAAGTTTAAGCAAGATTAAATATTTTTATTGATTTAATGGCATTTCATCAAAATTTGCATATTTAAATACTTCTATATTAATGTAATTGTGCTTTGTAGTTTTTGTTGCTTTTTGGATACATGTATACATAATACTATATTGTAAAAGTCAAAATTTTTATTAACTCTTTTGTAGCTATGGGAGGTCGTCAGCCAGGAACAGCAACTAGACTGACCACAGCCATGGTAACAAACATTTTCTTTTTCATACTTTTTCAAGTCTGCCTGTCTACTAACCCGGTCTATAGAGCATTAGGTCTATTAACTATGCCTCCATATACCATGAGCCAAAATATTTCACGAAAATCAAACTTGAGAAAAATGTACAAAGAATTTAAGAAAATAATTAAGGATTCAAGTAATAATTTACATGTTATACATGTAGGTCTGATGACCGATTTTTTAGAATTAATTTATCACCATATTTCTACTGCGTTACTAACACAGTAAGGTCTATTTTGCATATTTTGACCACTTTTTGGCAATTTACTTGAATTGTAAGGACCTTTTGCAGAAGGGAACTTGCTTTCTTTGTTAACTTCACAATAATTTACTTTTAAGTGCATTTAAATTTTTTATGAACACTAGCATGAATCTGGTGGCATGCTGCTTTAAGTTTCATAGTTTTTAGTCTTGAGCCAAACAAAAGATTATTTTACTCTGTGACGATTTCTTTGTTTAATATGTCTTAGTTGTTGTTGTATTTAAAAAAATAGGTAAGTACTGGTACAGAATCCAGGAACACTCCTTTGGAATGTCTTTCTGTTTATAATTGTAAAGGCAAATCAAAAGTGTAATATATACTGTTTAAGCACAATTGTATTCATTTATGTTTAAAAAACAGCAAACATTAAAGTTACCCTACATGTTAGACTACTGAAAAATATGAAATCATGCTACAGAATATAGCAAATACATGTAGTTTCAAAACTGAATACTGGTAGGTCATTGTTAAATTTAAAATAAACAGGTTAATCTTTTTTATAAGGTATGTGTACAGGTAAGCATGCCATATTAAAATAAATTTTCATTACAGAATCCTGGGACTGCTCGTCCAGGTACAAGAGGAGGCCCTGCAGCTGCTGGTGGGGGTAAGTTTGAAGATTTCATGGGGCTTATTTTATAACCAACATTTGGTCACCTTTCTAATTGAATATAATGTTTTTATGGGCAGGAATTCCCAATCAAAGGTTGTAATTGTTGTTACATGTGTAAGCTGTTTTTAAACCTTGATGAGTGGTAACATCAGTTTACATCAATAGTCAAACTTTAAAACTTATTTTGTGTTGATATTTTTGTTACATATTATTCATATTTTATAGTGTCTGCAGATAAAGAGTATGTTGAAACTAATCTAGACAGAAAAAAACTAAATTTCTAATTTTAAGCAAAACAACACTTACATTCCCAGTCCTTATTCCCAAGGATATTTGCCAAGGTCCAAAAGTATGTAAAATAATGGATATTATGAGTTGTAATTTGCAGATATATGGTGTCAATTTTTTTAAAATGGAAAACAATAATTATGCTTGTATTAAGATAAAATATTTATATAATTATTATTTGTCTATCTATAATATTCAAACAAGTGAATGAATTTAATAAGGTTTGACAATTTATTTTATTTTCTTATGTTTTGACCTTTGGAGAGGCTAAATTTCTCTATGATGATGACAATTGATCTCGGACATTGAGTCTAATGGACATTTGTCTCTCACCACTAATTCCAAAATCATCTTGTGGAGAAATTGGTAATTACATATGTACTGGTTAGTTATCCAGGAAGGCCTGTAAGGTGAATTGATGATCTTGGGAGTTTTTAGCAAAAATGGGTTTAAATCTTTGTAAAACAGTGAAACAAACAAATTGTGTTTTGACATTATAGCATTGGATGCCCGGGTAACAGTGGTTGACAGACCTATGACACAGCAAGGATTGGGTGGTATGAAAACAGCTGCAAAAGGTTTGTTAATGCATGAAAATTACTATATGGTGTTCCTATGAAACATGTAAGAGGACTTAGTGGCATAGTATCTAATTAAGATCATTGATTTTTAGTATTTATCTTTTGCAGTCTTACTAATGTGATTGAAATTTTTCATGCATGCAAGTCAGTCCAAATTTATTGATTTAGTATTTTATATAGAAGTTAAATTACTTTCATGACAATTTTACATTTAGCACTTCTTTCTTCAGGTGATAAGCTCGAACTTGCTCCAAAACCATTATCTAAATGTTATAAAAGCTCATGTTTGCCTTCTTGAAGAAGGAAATATGTATTTGTTTCTTAAGCATAAGGTGTCTTTAATCAACTACAGTAAACTCCGCTTATAACGAACTCATTGGGACATTCAAAATCTGTTCCTTATATCCGGAGTTCCTTGTAAGCATATAGCGAATTAGTTCCTTGTAACAGAAGTTTTTATAGCGAACAGTTTTACATATAACGATGTAATTGTTTACCATCGTCCTCCATTTAGAAGAGCATTTGATTAAGAGAAATAACTCTTAAGTTCGTCATTATTGTCTCCCTTATATTGATTAAGGAATAATTGCAATGTTGTTTCTTTTTAATATAATTATTATGTATAAATATATCTATAAGATAATTATATGATATGTACCATATATGCAATATTGTTATTTATTAACGATACAGTAGCATGCACAAAAATAATCACTTTGCTTTGAAGAAATCGCTAATTTTAGTTTGGGAATGTTTACAACTCTTCAGGTTAAATTCAATATCCAATAAACTTTTAAAAACTGTTTTTTCAACATGTGCATTAGACTGGAAGTATGACCTAATCTAGTGCAAACAATCAATAGTTTTCAATTTTTTTACACAACCGGCAGATAATCTAAATAGATCTCGTCTTCGGAAGATTGACTGTCATCGTCATTGTTTTGTTCCTAATATATCCGCTACGTTCGGGCCAAGTTGTAATCTGTGCCGATGAAAACGAAAAGTAGAAAATGCGTGATCTGTTTCGGATAGCCAATATTTGGAGTTCGTTATAAAAGTGTAATTTTCTGTACTTTTTATGGCATTGGGACTAAAAAATGAGTTCCTTATAAGTGATAATTCCTTATAACCGTGTTCGCTGTAACCGTAATTTTTTACATTAAATAAAGAAGGGCAAAATTCGGGCCAAAAAATTTTGTTCCTTATAACCGGAAGTTTGCTATAACCGTGTTCGCTATATGTGAAGTTTACTGTATGTCAATGGTTCCATCAGCTTATTTGTATATAATTATATGTAATTTCAGGTCAGAGACAAGTTCATGACAGAACATACTATCTAGGACTAGTCAGGTATGTTGTAGCTCTAGAAATGGAGCCGATATAAGTATTTATTATAATGCATGTTTGTAACATTGATTTTCATTGGGTAATCATGATGTTTATGTAATCTCTATATCTAAATCTGATTTTGACCTACTTGTCCATTTTTTTTTTCTTAAGCAGTCTTTACTTTTCTTTACTTGTCAGTATGATATTTATAAATTTTGGGAAAAACAATATACTTTTCTGTACCGTTTGTGGGACAACATGGGAAATATTGTCATTTGAATTGATGGCTCTGCAGTTGCTATGAATTTATAAAGTAATTTTCATTTTCTCATAAAAGAATTTTAGATGAATTATAAATTTGTTGAACAGAATTTTGACAGGTTATATGGCCACGTATAAACAGTGGGATGCAATGTAACTCCATTTTCAAATATTGTTTAGTTTTAGTTTAAACTATTTTATTTTAGCTGGATTGTGTTGGAAGCTATTAGCTTATTAAAACACTCTCGTATCCGTTCCTGGAACCAACAGGTACTAAGCAATGAGTGTAAAGTTTCTTGCTTCTAGAAACAAAGGCTTGAGGGGGTTTGAACCTCGTTTAAATAAGCATACAACTGATGTTGCTATAACTGGCTATTGTTGTTATTTCTGCCTATTGTTTTACTTTAAATTACTAACTATTGATATTACTCACTTATATATATATATGTTGTACTTACAGGAGTAAGATAAATGAGTTGAATACAGAGACAGCAAGATTAAACAAGGAGATCGAGAATGTCAGTGAGGAAAATTCCAGTTACCTTACTTATGAAAAGAGGTACTTTTATATTATACACTTGTATATTATGATTTCTTGAAGCACTGATCTTAAATAGTAGGAGTGCAAGTTTTGAGATTTGCCAATGAAATAAAATTTTGGATTATTATTGAAGACAACAATGTTTGAAAATATTATTACCATTTAGGGTTAGAACAGCGCTTTGTTAAAATTGCCTTGTTTATTTGATATTGCAAGTTAATATTTAATGAAAAACTAAATTTTTAGCATAGAGGATATTGAGATATATCTCAGGTTAACACTTATTTTGATATTGGATAATTCTAGAAAGAACTGTTGTCAAATGTATGACACTACTGTTTCCTACGAAAAAATAGAAAAAAATACATGACAGTGATTTGGGTGTAAGAGTTCGATATTTATAATGACTGCTAGTTAATCATTTTAACCCTTCTTTATCTGTTAGTTAATGGTATATCTTAATTTGATTTCTATCTAGAAGATAAAAGGCTGACCTGTTTGAGTATGTGAGAACCTTCGTAGTTGTATGGTTATTGGTCAAAATTACTTAATTTGAAACATTTGCCACTTAATTCTGAAGTTTCACATACAACCAAAGACCTTTTTTGGACTCTTTTTAGGAAGATACCCAGCTCAATAGTTCTACTAAAGTGCTGGCTTGTGTCTGAAATAATGGAGGAGCACCTTTGTTGTTGAAATTTGTTTCTGTTTCAATAATATATTTATTTTTCTGGCTAAGATTTAAGATTGGAACTTTATTATTTCAGAGCTGAGACACTTGCAAGTGAAATAAAAGATCTACAGGGCGAGCTTGGTGATTATAATACTGTAAGTAAAACAATAAGATCATAAGTTCTTATAGACTTTAAATGATTTAACAAATTGTTGAAGCTGTACAAACTTAAAGGAAATTAGTTATTCTGTCAAACCAGTCAAAGAGAATCTATTTTGAAACCCCTTCATGGTTTCTTTGTTCTCTGGCCTAGTTATATTAAAAACAACTTATGTTAAGGTCAATATATAACACTCCAGAAGTTATATCAATCTTGAACATCATAACTTTTTAAAAGCTTTTAAGAACTATACATAGACCAGATCATAACTCTATAATTGTATAGTAGTTTTGTAGGACTGCCTGTTAGCTATAACTCTTATTTTTTACTGTTATTAAATGTAGAAAACCCTTGACAACAAAATTCTTATCTATATATTTTTAGCTTGTTGATAAACTGACTACAGATGAAGATATTCAAGATGTTGAATTTGATCTGAATGATGTAAGTATGCTACAAATTTTATCTCAATGATTCATCATACAAATATACTCACAATGCTGTAAATATTATACAAATATACTCACAATGCTGTAAATATTATACAAATATACTCACAATGCTGTAAATATTATACAAATTGGATCCCAGTTTTATAAATACTATCAAGATTTGATCTCGGCAATTTGATTACTATTCAACTTCTCAGTGTTGTAAGTTCACTGAAATTTGATCATCTGAATAAACTAAAACACATTGAAAGTTATACAGTAGAACTTCGGTAAGTCGAAGTTCAAGGGACTTACGTAAAAAGTTCGACACATCGGGACTTCGACTCATATATAGGTCCGAATTTTGCGACAAAATTTCGCCATGACACAACGTTTACAAATGACATTACAAATGGCGTTACAAAGAAAAGGGGCGATAAGTAAAATCATCTTATAGTACGTATCAGATACAATACTGTTTCGTGCGTGTTAAAACAGAACAAGAATATTTTTTTTTTAACAAAATTTATTTATTTATTCATTCATTTATTTATGTACAACAAACAGGCAAATAAAACATGACTTAAATAAATACATTTTACTTTTTAATACACAAGAATAATGAGCACATTTTTTATTAACGAATATGAATATCACACATCACAATGTTTATAAACGATTATCATTAACATTCACAAAGAAATCAGAGATTGATGTCTGCTTACACTCACTTCTTCTTAGATAATATCTGCTGAACATAGAACTAATGTCACTTAATTTTGCGATGGCTCTTTCTGTCTCCGCATCACTCCCGATTCCTTGTTGGTGAAGAAAGTCCCTGACCGCATCTAATCCGTCCATGGCATCGAAAAATTGTCACTCCAGATCTTGAAGGCAGCTCATCATCATCGTTATCATCAAGAAGGGTTTCATCGTGAGATTGACGTTGTGAAACAACGTTATTTATGATTTCATCGTCAGTGAGATCAGCGCATACCGGAACACTGTCATCTGCCGATGTGTATTGCTCAAATGATACACCAGAGGTCAGACGCCTCAGAGTCGACAGAGGTAAGTCATCCTCAGGGTCGTCCTCAATCATTTCAATACCGGAAACTGAAGACTGCTGGAATCCAGCATGTCGGAAGCAGTTAGCAATAGTCTGAGGACTGACAGCATGCCAAGCTGTTTTGAGCATGTACAATGCATCTAAAACTGTTTTTTTCCCTCAGGGCTTTTCAGTTTAAAATGTGCAGATAATTTGCTCTGAAGTTTTTCTGCAAAATATGTTGTTTTAGTGATATTATAGTAATAATTTTTATATCAAATGGAAATTTAAAAAATAGTGCATTAGATGGTGAAATATAATGAAAAATAAATAAAGATTTATGGAGATATTTGATAAAGAAAATTTTTTCTATTGTTTGAAATCATTTGCTTTTTGGATTATGTACATGGTTTTACCTGGATTTTTACCTGTGATTGTAAGGATAATGGATTAAGCTGGATTAAACTGGACTATAATATATCAAATACAAAGGAATTCTAAGATACAATTGGACAATAATAGATACTACACTTTAAATAATTGTTTAACAGTAAACTTTGACAGCAAGTATAATAATTGATAAAATGTCTAGTAAAGGTCAAGGATCAGGACAAGGGTCAAAGGACAACTCTACTGGTACAAAAATTTAAAACATCAATGAAGGGGAACACAGGAAAACAACCTCCAGCTAAAAGAGCAATTTCAGAAGTAAGTAATGACAGCACATTAAGTAATGACAGCATGAATATGTCATTAATACAAAATCAGCTAGACTTAATGTCAGAAAAATCTTGAAGAGCTTAAAGGAGACTTAAAAAAGGTATCATAAAAAAAGAAGACATAGAATCAATAATTTCAAGATCAATCACAAATGCCATGACCCAATTACAGCAAAAAATGGAAATCATTATAAAAAAAGAGATTCAAGAAAAAAACTAAAGAGTTAAATGACAAAATAAGTTCACTTGAGTTTGAAAATAATCATTTGAAGGAAAGTCTGACAAAAACAAAGACAGAGACCGGAAAAAGGCTAAGCACAATGGAAAGAAAGAATATCTCAAAATGAAAAAAGCTGTCAAAGATGCCAAAAAAAAGCAAATCATAATGAACAGTACTCCAGAAAAAATAACATAAAAATAATGGACATAGCTGAAGATAGAAATGAAAATATCCAAATATTGACAGATAAAGTAATAAACCTTCTGCAACAAAAAGATGTCAAACTCGAGAAAGAAGAAATAGCAGCTATCCACAGACTACCTTCAAGGAATCACAAAATAAGACCTGTCTTAATAAAACAATCAACAATGATGCCAAGTCCAAAATAATGAGGAAAAGGAAAACCATGAAAGACGCTGGACACAAGTTGGTAGATGATGTAACAACATTAAACTCTGGTTTAATAAACCGTTTACTGTTGCACCCTACAATAAAAAGTGCATGGTTCTTTAATGGATCTGTCTATGGACTAACTGAAATGGATGAAAGAATAAAATTTGACTTGTATGACAATATTAATGAAGTGATAAAAACTTTCAGAGAAAAGAAGACCCATGTAAAGACAACATCTACAAGATAAATGTATCATAGACAGGATGAAGAGAACAGATGAAATATATATGTAATTATAGACTAAAATATAATGATTTCTTTTTTTTCAGTTGTTTTCAAAAATTAATGTGTCCAGCAATTAAAGACAATTAATTAAAAAGTTAAAAAGTACATATTTCTAGATTATTTTTCAATAAATTCTTATGTTGATATAAGCAAAAATGGCTACATTTAAGTAGCTTTTTAATATATTTATTTCTTAACTAAGTGATTTTCTAAGCAGGTGATAGTTAATTCTTAATAACATGCTATACCTATATACATGTAAATTAGTTAGTTATTTATAGAATATTGGAAAATTGTATTATCGTATAAGGCCATTTCATGCTATAAATGATAAATCCTATTTGCCAAGTAATGCTTAAAATAGATTTGTGGATTGAAGACCTTGACAATTTATAAATTCTTGTATAATATACGTTATACGTAAAAAAAAATTCTATTTTTTTAAATACAATAATTGTTATTTTGATCTGGCAATAGGTATATTTATTAAATAAATGGTCTATATCTTAAATAAAGTACTTGTTATTTTGAACTGGTAATTATATATTCATAAAACTTGTGAGTGAAATATGGATGAAATAAACACTTACTTTTATTTTCATCTTTTCTAAATAGAAATTTTATTTGATTCATTATCATATGATATTTGTGTGTATTCATGTATCACTTTTAATGTCATCATACTGAAAAGAATTCCAATTTCTCTATCTACAAAAAAACCTGTCCAGTAAGTATTTAGTTCTGCTGCTGGTTAACATCTATCCCTCGCCTTTATCGGGAGGGAGTTTTACTTTCAGTGGGATGGTTAGACTCACTGGGTAAAATATGGTATACAATATCCTGTGAGGTTGCCAGTAGTAATTCTATTACTGCTATGATAGAGAAATATTGACTTATTACTTAAAACATTATTTTTTATCTAATATTTACTCTAAGTTTCATATTACACTTTATGTTACCATGATCACATGATGTTATAATTGTTTTATTTATCTATTTGCATAACAAAGTCTTAATAAAACATATTTTTCTGTTCTATATAATTTTACAGAAAATTCAGTTTGTTAAATTGTTTATGAATAAAATATTTGTTTCTGTTTTTTCATTTGTTTACTTGTGAATACCACAACAAGTTGAAAATTGTTTGTTTTATACATCTCTAAGAGAATGAATCACACGTTTATGAGAAATCTTTGATATCCTCTAATTTATAATTTTCATTCATTGAATGTGTTATTCATTTAGAAATAACAATGAAAAAGAATGTTTCAATTTTTGATATAATTAGATGAAACATTAAACATATTATGCATCTTCTACAAAAAAGTTTTTTCTTCCATAAGTAAATTTTACTTGTTTATTGCAAAATGTATTTCTTTCTTTATATACAAGCACATTGTTTTATATTTTTGAGGTCATTATGTTATTTAGAAGTGTTTCTCTGGGTCCATGTACATATTGTATTTACTTTACTTAAGTGTAGCTATGTATATTGTAGATATAGTGTTGAATGTATTATTGTAAATATTAGTTATGAGTAGTCTTAATATTTTCTCTTACAATTGTCGAGGTTTACAGGATAGTATCAAGAGAAAAGATGTTTTTAGATTTATTTCAGTCAAAAAAAAGCTGATATTCTCTGCCTACAGGAAACACATTTTATAAAAGAAATTGAAAAGAAAATTTATTCTGAATGGAATGGTTTATGTTTTTACACAGCCATGGTAGGTCTAATGCCAAAGGTGTGGCTATTTTATGCAGAAAAGGTTTAGATATAAAAATTAATTCTGTTAAAACTGATGATTCAGGAAATTTCATAATTTTACAAATAATGCTTGATTCTATAAATTTCACATTAGTTAATATTTATGCGCCAAACATAGACAGTCCTATTTTTCTTTAAAAACATTTTTTGATACTTTAGATTCTTTTGATGATAATGACTCTCTAATTATTTGTGGAGATTACAACCTTGTTCAAAATCCTGACTTAGATTATTATAACTATAAATCAAAAAACAATAATGTAAAGGCAAGAAATTTTTTAATAAGTATTATTGAAGAAAAAGACCTCATTGATCCCTTTAGAGAACTGCATGGTAATAGGAAAAAATTTACATGGAGACGAACCAACCCTATACAACAAGGTAGACTAGATTTTTTTCTTATATCAAATAGTTTATATCAGTATGTACGAAAATGTGATATTGACATTAGTTATAAATCTGACCATTCAATAATATATTTAGATTTTTGTTTTAGTTCTGTAAGTCATGGAAAAGGTTTATGGAAATTTAATAATGCTCTGTTATATGACATTGAATTCCTTGATATTATAAATAAAAAAAT